CGGCACCTCCTGGACTGCCGAGGGCTGGATCGAGAGCTTAGAGCTTTTAAATGCGAATGCATTTCTTAGTTGGGCAATTTCTTTGTTCTATGATCGGGCTATGTCAGACATCCGGTGTTGTCCGCACCGCCGCTCTCACCCCGGGCCTCTCCCATAGCAACAGCTGCGGGCGCGAGCGCTTATCCTCGCCCCTAGCAACCGGAGCTCGTGTTGCGAGAGAGTGTTGGAAAGGTGCAGTGCTTCGCCGCTCCTTCTGTCGCTGTTCGCTTTCCCTCCTCCCTGCGCCCCACTTTCCCGTTCGCTCGCGCCTCTCGATCGTTTGCTGGCTGGGCGCATCTCAAGAACATCCGGAAATGTGTGCTCGAGACGCCACTGTGAAACGCCAATGCCGAGCCGAGAACGCTGTTTGTTTTGTTCACTTCACAGTATTTTTTAACCTTGCAGGCTAACTACTAGAGCTGGAACCGCATACCGCGTTTCCCGCGACAAAAAAAAAAAAAAATTCACAGTATTTTTTAACCTTGCAGGCTAACTACTAGAGCTGGAACCGCATACCGCGTTTCTCGCGACAAAAAAAAAAAAAAAAAAAAAACGCCATGTGCGGTGAACGGCGCTATTGGCTGCACTGCAAAAAAAAAAAAAAAAAGAGACTATTCTACTAACGCTAGGTTCTCGCATGCGAAACGCTGTTATATATGCTACGCAATGCATTTGAATTTCTCCACGATTCCCTAGCTACGGGGAGGTGGGGCATTTTTTTCCCAGTCCGGTTCTGTGCTGAATTTTGTGCCACGTGACGTCGTACACTGCCAGAGCATCCTGGGTTTATGCCTTCAGCAAAGCCGAGGGCTGCATTGGTACTTTGAAAAGTATTCCGGAATGCAGACATCGAAATACGTGGATTTGAAGCCTGAAATACAGATACTGAAATTCATTTGCCGTTGATCTAATGGGGTATTTCAGAAATACAATTAGAAAAACTATCATGGAATACAGATACATCAATACAAATAAAGAATAGTTTTTTTTTTCAGGAAGGCCTATATGCCACAAGGACATTAATAAGTCCAACTTAATGTTTGTCTTGTACCAAGGCTTGTCTCGTACCAAGGCCGCTATGAACTAATACTTCATACCCTTTTTCTCACCTCCGCCTTGCCTCCACAACTCATGAGACACGCCGGCGATTGCAGAGCTCTCATGAGTGCACTTGATAATTTGAGCTTCGCCCAATCTACACTTCCGAGATTGTACGCCGACAGGTTAAGCACAATCTCGGAGGCCATCACACAGTGCGCCCGGCAGCACGCACACCATCTGGCAACAAAGATGAAGATCAAAGACTGGTTGAAATCAGCTCCAACATGTACGACCACCTTCTCAACCGATTTTACTTCCACGCATTCCACAGCCAATCAAATCATCAGCCTCGGTGACGTCGTGTTAACACAGCAGAGTCGTGTGAATGGGCAGTTGAAAACGTGTTTGCTGAGTCGCAGCAATCTGCAGAGATTCGCAGCTTTCAAGTGTTTTAATAAATGACATAGTTTATGCAGAAAGCTCAAATTGGTGTGGAATAACCCTTAGGACTTGGTCTACTGGTCCAATGTGTTTGTACGAAATCGTCAAAACCATTTCGAGGTCCCTTTAAGACCTAATGAAAGGGGAACTTACAAAGTACATTACATGTAATAATTACATTGATTGCAGTTATTAATTACTAGCTACCTAAAATTACCAGCTGCCTAAAAATTAGGCATGCTGCACTGGCCTTGAGCGAGAGTGACTTTCAGAGGCCGACAACACAGCCTCTACATGTGGGCCGTCCCGTGCTTGAGGGAAAACCATCACAACCCTTACTTATGTCACCAGCGTGCCCTTGGCTGTCTTCGCACGCACGCGCACACACACACTTCGAAAAGTTAATTCGAGCGCGAAAACTTGACACGATCACTCACACACGCACACACCCATGCATCAAACACACAGCGCTCATGCATGCATGGGTGTGTGCAGCATGCATGGGTGTGTGCGTGTGTGAGTGATCGTGTCAAGTTTTCGCGCTCGAATTAACTTTTCGAAATGCTCTACCAACTAGCCCAACAACAAGCTCTCTTAGCACACACACACACAAAGAGGAAACGAAGGAGAGCAAAATTCATTCTTCTCTTGAAAGCACTGAAAACCTACCTATAGACTAATTTTACATAAAACAAAAATGTAACGCCCAGTGCCCTGCGTAGTATCGTGATACAATCGATACGTAATAAAAGTAATTCACTACTGAGATAGAAATACATTTTTCAAATGATACAGACATACAGATACCCAAAGCATCACAAAATACTACTATCACAATACTCTTTTATCGTGATACTGCTCAGCTCTGCACCAAAGTGACTTAACGTGCTATGAGACGGAACAAACCTGCCTGCAGCATCCGGACAGTCAACGAGTGTGATCTAGTGAGCTCGGAATGCTAGAGGGGCACCTCGGCCTTGACAGTTGGTGGTGAGAAGCAACTTTGTTAAATGTTCCAAGTGAACCCTTGAAGCTCTCGGCAAATCTGCCTTCTGACCCGCAAATTGCACTGCCACAGGTCATGATTTCTCATGCACGGCTATGAGCAAGTTCATCGACATTCGGAACAGTTGCATGAGCCCATGTGGACCGGGAACCAGGTAATTGTGTGTGTGAAAGCATACTACACTCCTTGTCCTGAGAATAGTGGCAGTATCCCTGAAGATTATTTCCGATGCATACGTCCGGATGGCAGCCCTAGAGTCAGTAAATACCTCAGGACGCGAAGGATCCCGCTGTTGTGGCTACTGCATATGCCTGGTTGAATTCTTCGAAACACCATAACTGGTCGGGCTTCACTACTGTAGGTGCGCGCACGAGGAAGGAGGCTGCGCCCCCACACCTTAAGAGGAGAAAGGAAGCGCAAAATCTTCCCTATGGACCTTTTCACTGTTTACAAACACAGGCCCTTGATGAAATCCGGTTTTGTCTACTGTTGTGCTTTAATAGCATCGGTGGGCAAGAAGAGCTTTAGAAAACAGCCCGCTGATTTTATACACTTTACTTCCCTTATTTGGGAAATACGTTCAAATGAATGTTTTTTTTTGAGCTACATAAAATTTATAAGAGATCCCTTGAACTTCACGCACATTCCTTTTATCTAAAAAAGTACAGAGAAACTTTCCTTACCCCTGAAAAAAACTTTAAAACGTGCTTTCTGCTTCGAGATTAGGAGCTGGTAAATGAGGTGACCGGAAGTTTTTTGGGTACAACACTTGCAATCTTGAAACCCTCTATACATCGACATAGTAGTGAGGGAGGTATGCTGTAACGAACTTTCGTCTCTCCTCATGGGCAACCCAGTGCACGCTCATATTTATGACAACACTTCACGTTCTCCAGAACGTATACATCAATGGGGTTTCAACCTCTTTTTGTACAACTGTCCTTCACGTGTGTTACTGTGACCACGTGCATGCATTGTGGATAAAATCTAAACATATCGGGGGAGTAGGGTAGAACTCCCCAGCTCCCTTCCCCTCTTCGAAATCAAACCTTGGCTTTCATAAATCGACAAGCTTGTGTTGCGCATCATGCCTGTGACAGTTCTTTCTATTGAAGCACAGGTGAGAGTTGGTTGAGAGCACATGAACACAGTGACGTGGTTTTATTCCATATCCCGGGAGCTTTCTTTAAACGCTGTAAAAAATCCCCGCATAGCATACATGTCACCACAAAAATAGGATTGGCATTTTGGAATGCCTTCACAATATAATGAAACTCACTTGAGTCTAAATTGAATTTAAAAAATGTGGCATAATTGATCTTGAATTAACTAAGCACAATATAAAAAATAACTTGATGAGTGCCACGTGACGGTAAACTTATATGTTTTTTGTTTCATTCAGTTCTAGTGAACCACTTTTTAAAATCTTTGGTTCTTTCTGATATAAAGGTTTCCGCAAAGGAGAAAAATCGCATAGTCAAATCTAAACAAAAGTGAAGTTTCCTGAAATAAATATAAAAAATGCTTTTTTTTTTAAGTTTGGAATGAAGACATGACAAATTATTTAGCACCCAACAGCCCGAAGTCTAGTAGTGTGCCATTGTGATACAGCAGTTATTTATTTTATTCATTTATTAGCTATCGTGTCCTCGAGACTCAGAGTTAAACGCAGCGGCAAGCTGAGGGCTGCCTATTAAAGCAATGCGTTAATGTGGCCGTACATGCCATGCAGCCCTGCCTACATCCACGCTCTAGCCTTTTAACTACACAGACTGGTGCACAAGTCAGCGCATAATTGAGCGTGTGAGACTTTTACATCTACTGGACCCTCCTTGAATGATTGTAACAAAATAATTGACATAACAAGGCCATCTTGGCTTGGCTCGATTTTGCATAAAGCTCACAATCTTGAGCTCGATCACGAGCACACGCAGGAAGAAATAAACTAAGAAGGAAATATGTACATCGCACAGCCAGCCTTGGCAAGTGAGCTCTCTGCAGTGAAGCCGTTCCAGTTCACTTCCTTTCTCGCAGTATTGGCCATATTCCTCGTTGACCTCTGATAGACAGTGTACTGGTTGAGAATTTTTGTTCAGCCATGCAGCATAGCTTTGCCTACACGTTCTTGCGTGGTAATCACGCATCACTTTAGTGACCAGGTTTGACGCAACATGACGCTTACATGTAGAGTAATTGAGTATCTCATTTGTTAGTTGTTTTTGGGTCTCATTCTGTTAGTACTGTATGTACATAAAAAAAACATCATGGCAGTTCTTGGCCATACCTGAAACTTGTGCCAAAAAATACTATACATTCATCAGTACATGTAGCACAGTAAACATAAAGAAAAGAGGAAGGCAGCAACATACACAAAGCAAAACATGTACCCACTTTTTTTTGTTCCTTGTTTATCACGCACTTTGTGCACGAAGTCAGAACATAAAGTTTCGTACTTATGAAAAAGACAGTGCTCATACAAAAAAAAAAACATCTTTATTTTAGAGTCTAATGAACCGCTCACAATGCACTTCCTTCCCCGAACGTCTTGCACTAAAACCCCTCAGCACAGTCTGTGATGTAGAAATTCTTTATGCCAAGGCCCATTGAGCTGCAAAGGGACAAAAGACACACAGCAAACTTGAAAAGAAACTTAAAATGTCTTAAGCAGCCTAGAAGGGGTGAAAGCCCCACAGCAGCATAACATAATTATAATTATATCCTGAGGACTAAAATCGAGAGAATACAAAAATTTGCAGTACGCTGCGTATGTGGTAAATACCGACGCACACACTCCGTCACAACCTTGTTAAAACCCTGTGAGCTTGATTTTTTGGAATATCGTAGATGCAAACAATGCCTCCAATTTCTTTTTCCGATTATAAGTGGGCAAACAAAAATAAACAAGGATTTATATCTTCAGCCACCTGGAAGGCAATGTGATCGTCTTAATAATAGCCAAGCTATTCAACCCTATTTCATACGCACAAATGCTTTCGGCCACTCCTTTTTTTCAAGACGCAATAAACATGTGGAATAGCTTACCTGATCTGGTTGTTCAACAAACTACGTCAGTCAACTTCAAAGACAGCTTTCTCTGCAGTGATAATTGCTAACTTCTGTTGCCAACATTTGTTTCTCCATTTTTAATTGGCATAGTCACTGCTGTTTGTTCCTTCTTTTCCTGTTGCTGATTATTCATCTGTTATTTTCATGTGCTATTGATCACTGCTTTATAGTGTGAATGTTATCTATTATGTGACAACCTTCCTGTAATGACCCGAAGCACGGGCTTGACAGTATCTAATAAATAAAAAATAAATAAAAATAATAGTAGTTCAAAAAAGCGCACAAGCCGAACATCTAGGACTGTCATAAGCATATGATTGCAAGCAACTTAACTTCTCTCATTGTTTCAACTGTTGCGATATAATTTGCAGCCTCGGCACAGAAGTAATCGCAACCACAAGATTTCTTCTACAGCACAGAAAAAACACAAAAGAAAGCCATTTGTGGTGTGTCTGTAAGCTCAGATGTTTTGTAATAGTGATGTTAAATTCTCATAAGACACACATTCATGAGACAAATAATAATAATGATAATAATAATAATTATTATTATTATATAATATTATTATTATAAGTTACATGCAGTTGTCCAGCCCTGTAGTCAGTACCACCACCTTTCACTTTTGCAACAAAACCAGAGGTGTGCTTCCTGCTTGAAGTTGTATATGCTTGGTTGTTTTTCAGGCTTGTCATATAATACAGTAGACTCTCGATAATTCAAACTCTGATAATTCATACTTTCGGTTAATTCAAACAAAACTCGATTTTTGGGTTGGCCCTCTATGTTTTCAAGGTATTTGAAAGCCTCTTAATTCAAACTCATCATTTGGTCAATTCATGCTTTCTGCAGTTCCATACTGAAAAATATCTGCTGCTTTCCCACTACTATCTAAAAATTTGAGTGCTTATATAATCCTGAGAGTTTAAGAATGGCACATAAGCACCTTAGGCCTTCGAGGAAAAAAAAAAGGCTTTGGTAGTAAACAAATGTTTCAAATGAAGCCCACGCATGGTAAACCGTGACGCTTCTCAACTGGTATAGAGAGGTTTGTGCTGAAGACACATAGCCAAAAAGCAGCTGGCAATTCACGATTTCTTCAAAAGGTCTGATCAGCAGTAAATGGCCTGTGGACCTTGCACCTCTGCTTTTTGTTCACTGGGTGCAGTTATTGTTTGAAAACGCTTAAAATTTTTTTAGATGTGATAAAATCAATGCCTAATCATAATGTGTGGTGTCACCTAGCCTAGATTCATAAGTCTGAAAACTTTTGATAATTCAAACTTCTTGATAATTCAAACAAAATTCAGAGGTCCACTCGAGTTCGAGTCAATGAGAGTCGACTGTAGGTGATATAATATCACTTTATTGAGAAGCTGGGACTTGATACTCTAGTTATGACATAAGTGTCAGCTCGACACATTTAAGAATAGACGAATAAAGGATAACGTAAGGCAAGCTTTTCATGTTAATACTTTTTTAACCAAAAAAGCACTAATGAATAAATGGACTTTTCTTGCTATGATAAATTATTTTCAAGACGGCACAAATTATCATTCTTGCTCCGAGAGAACGCTTGGCCGTCAATGAAAAGCGGAAAATTTGCAGGTGGTAATACCACCTTACACAGATTTCTGCACAGATTCCCAGGGAAATCATATAATTTGACAGCAACTCCTGAGGCAAATATAGTTCTCAACTGTAAGCACATTGTCCTCAGGGGGGGGGGGGGGGCAGAGACCCACTGCACCAAGGTTCAGAAAATTTTTCTAGAGCCAGTTTGGCCAAAATACAAGAAAAAAACTTTCAAATCCACGATGTCACGCTGACACTTCTGTGCAGAGGTTTCGGTGCGAAATTTAAAATTTTAGCTGCAACCTCTATGTCTCTTATATAATAATGCTATGATGGTTAAATTAATGACAGTATAGTTTTGGAGTAATAACTTACAAGCCCTGAATTGATTCGTTCTTTGACTTTATTGTATCTTTAAAGTATACCTATTTGATCCGCAAAAACAAGCAGAAAGAGGTGACTGGCATTCTCCACTTCATAACCTATAGCATCATGCCGAGGTTTGAACAATGAATGATGGGAATAAAATGAGTCATTACCCTGTTGCACTTAGGTGATGATGGAAGGCTCGGACTCATTTGTCAGACGTACTGCTTCGCCTGCCAGCATTGGGGTCTTTTTGAAATGCAAAGACAACATAAATACCTGAAAACAAGAGCAAAGAAAACACACTGTCAATATGCACTGACAAAGCAGCCCTGCAACACATTTCATTGAATGGCTTCAATAAAAAAACTTAATGCCTCACGAATAGAGTGCCCCAAATGTTTTTTGATTTCGTGAAGTATGAGCAGAGTTACAAGAATTTGTTGCACGCTCCAAGCACTTCCTCTCGTACTAGTGAGCGCGCTGGAAGTTACGCAGGGAGGGGGGATGACAAGAAGGCAAGAAGATTCATCCCTTCAACAGTGCGTCGCGACCTTGAGTACATCCTTTTTTTTTTTTTTGAGAGCCTGGCTTGCTGTCAGCATGATCATGAGAGCACGTGTGGGCATGTGGCACTATCCTGCGGCCGTCACTGCAATTACGCAGCTTGCGATGTTCAAATCGGCCAACAGTGTGAACTTAGGGTACATGTCGCAGTAATAATTTCGAAATATGGCATCATTTGTAGACAGAAAAGAGAGCGATTTGTAGCCGATATTAAGCTATAATTGTAAATTCCAAGCTACGTGCTGCACTATTACATTGGGCTTTCGAGTTTCTAGAAGCCCTGACAACCAATCGGGAGCCTTTTCTGACCTTGCCAAAGAACTGTTGCACGGCCCCTTTGGGAATGTACATTTGCAGTATGGTTCGAAATACTGTTGACATGCCATTTCTCAGATGTTGCAAAGATGAGTTTATTGACCCGTAGTGTCTCAGAAATCTATGATAGCCGAATTTCAACTTCTTTCATTTATTTTAACACTGTAAGCTTCAACTACCAAAAAAATCCATGTCCAATTCAGCATGTCTTTCAATATGCTGAATTGAGGGAAATTAGCATTTGGCGCATTGTTTCCTTTATTATATACATAAAGCAAGATAGACGGCCATTTCTGTATTTTTAGTATTGGTGCCAAGTACTGTCTTTTTCTGAAGCTCTTTATTCAGCATCTATACTATTTGTATATTAGACATAAAATGTTATACTAGATTGATTGATTATTTATTTATGAAACATTACAAGGCACAATAGTTTCTTACAGAGGCTACTCTATCATCTCTACACTGTCTAAAATGAGGATTGCATTGTGTTTCAGATTTTACTATTGCACTTATCCTCTAATAGTGTTCACTTTATTGAAAGGCTGTCGCAATGCAATCTAAAGGCTTTGTAAATCAAAATCAAGCTGATAACGCATAACTTTAAAAATGTGAACAGCAGGCGTCGGGTCACATAGAACTGCCCACACAGCGTTAATTTCTTCGCACTCAGTTTGTTGTTACATTGCATTTCTGTCTACTGTCGCCCTGTGCGCATCATCCTACACTTAAAGCTGTTTCTCGATTTATACTGCAAGCCTGCACAATACTCAATAGATCTAAAGCATATATGAACATGAATCAAGATATATTATGTTTATGTGTAGATTAGAGGCAAAGTTGTCAACATACTGAGAGCTTCCCATTCAGCTTGAGACAATGTGCCCTGAAAAAAAGAAAGGGGAAAAAATTCAAGCAGGTTGCATTAAGTGGTTCTCAAGCGCAGAATTTTGAAAAGTCGAGCATTGACAGTTAATACCTGTTTGCACAGGTTCATGACGGTACAGCAACCACAGAGGGAGATGTCATCACACATTCCTCTTCTACACAGAGACACAATACAAATGCACGTGCATGAAGCAGCATACGTAATTAGTTCCAATGGGCACAGCCAGTTTAGACCAATTACCCAAGTAGCGTGCTTGTCAAGTCTGAACAAGCTGATCAGACCAGCAAATGACCGTTTCTATTACATTGTAAAAAAAAAAAGTCTTTGCCGCAAAGGCGAAGCAATGAACGCGATAGCAACAAATTGGAAGGTCACATGCAGAATGGCAAGCAGAATAAAACCTGGCTTTGAGCAAAGTTTCTAAAGCAAGCGTAAGTACATTTGAGCTTCCTAATTCCCGGACGTCGAGGCAGCACTTCTGTTGCGGTCACGCCGCTCAACATTTGAGGTACACATGACAGGTGCGGCTTTCTCATGCATTCAAAAACGCAGTGTCAATGAATAAATAAAAAAATATGAATATCTTACTGGTGTGAGCTGCATCCTGCGTAAAAGAGGTACATGCAAAAAATGAAGGCAGTATTTCCCCATCTCATGATGAAAATGAGGACATAATTGCAGGACTACATTTATTAGTGGTAAGATAAGTGTCATTAGGCTCTGTAGCCTTTGCTGCATTGACAAGAAGTGTTGTCCGCAAGTATATCACTCCTTGTAAAACTCATTCATACTGGGCCACGCGCGTCTCATGGATTATCTGCAAATAGGATTAACATCTGCCGAGTGAGAAATAATGCAGTGCTTGTGCGGGATAGGGTTAATGCCGAAGCGCCAGCGGCGCCCCCTGGCAGCGAGGTTGGGTGGACGCACAGAAAACAGGAAGGAGTCTTTTTTAGGCTCGGCTACATGCGACAACTGACGTCTATTGCGCTGTGTCCATGGGGGATGACACTGTGGGTCATTTCACATGGGTCTCTCGTGATAAGTCGAACGTCAATGACGCTGCATTCGTTGTGGAACCTTGTGTTTGTTATGTTGTTTGTGTATTGTGTTGGCATAATGTATAAAGTTATTTAGTGTGTCACTAGTACTAGTGATGCACTAGATTTGGCTGGCGATATGGTCATTTGTAAAAGCAGTGAACAAATGTGCACAAGTTGGTATGCACGACTGCAGCTGCTGTGTCCTTTTGTTCCAAGTGAGCTGTTCATCTTGGAGACCCCACAGCATAGATGTAAAATAATTTGGAAATAAGTAGTACATTGTGAATGGTACAGAAATTTTTTAGGTATCTATTTGAATGGATACCGGATAACGACACGAGTCCAGGTAGGCCATCCTACACTGCGCAAGAGTATGGCTTCCAACGTTAGCCAACCAGTGACTTGTCAACCAGTGTGCAATAAATACTTAGCTGAACTGAATGGCTTACTTGACCCACCATCTAAGCTTCACTAGAGCTTGTATGACATGTGTCAGTGCTCCTCTTGGTAGAAACATCAAATAAAACAACTACTCTTACTTTTCAACTTGTGTCACGCTATTTAAAACTAAACGGAAAAAAAGAAAATCCTGCTCAAGCACGTGCAGTACTCCTCTAAATTAGTGCACTGGGACCATAAAAAGGAATGAACAATTTCCAGTTCTGCAGTCTCCGTAATGCTGCGTCACAAAGTGGCATGTCTTTTGCATTTGGAACTTGAAACAAGACAGATTGCCGGAATGATCACTGCTCTGTGAAAACAAACAAATGAAAAATATGGCCAGCTCCACTTGGCAGACAATGATGAAACAGCAAGGCCATTGGCTCATAAAGCAGCCTTCACTTCACAAAATATTTTAGCTGGCTGAACGATGTGGGATTCGAATATAGCGGAAGGAGTGGTGGGAGCAGTGGCGAGCTGTGGGAGTAGTGAATAGTGGGAGCGGCGAGGGGTGTGGCACATATGCGTACCGTCATTAACCCCTTTTCTGTGGCACATACCCGTTTACGGTCTATGAAGGCACTTGGACATGAAAGGCACGGTACGACTAAAACAGCTTCCCCGTTGAAACTTAGAAGTGTGGCAGCTTGGGCTAGTTGGTATGACATGAAGATAGCTATAGCGCAAGAACAGAATGACGACAAAGAGACAAGACGGACACAAGCGCTAACCTCCAAGTGAGTTTATTGCGCAGAGCGTGAAAACATACAGAGGAGACAGTAAACCATGTGACAAAAAACATGTGGCACAAAGACTTGCCACATGGTTTTTGTCACATGGTTTACTGTCTCCTCTATATGTTTTCGTGCTCTGCCCAATAAACTCAGTTGGAAGTTAGCGCTTGTGTCCTTCTTGTCGTCGTTCTGTTCTCGCGCTATAACTATCGTCCCCGTTGAAAGCTACAAAGTAACAAAGCACCATTCAATTGATTTACCACTTGTGGCCTTCTTCGAGATTCTGGTTCCTGGGCTTTAATCTTTTCTAACTGCTCAGCGGCGTGCTTGTAGTCATCTGGATCTTTCCCTTGTGTTGTCTGGTCGCCAAACGGTGGGTAGGCCTGCAAATTAAGCCGGATAGTTTCACTTCGCCTCAATGCATCTCAATTGTTCGTTTGACCGAGAAAGCATACAATGTAGTTGCGTGAATTCGATGGGCGTGTAGCCAAAAGCTAGTACATGACTTTAGAAGTAAGATATCAAAGTTTAGACACGCTCTGTCAAAAGCTGCTTTTTCACTTGTGACTGTGAGAACAGCTTGAAAAGGACAGCAGCGAAAATTGAATCGAATCTTTATTTCAGACATGTATAAACAAAAACATGGCTCCAGAGAAGAGAAAAAAAAAAGCCGCTCAGTTGCGGCTCGACAAAGCTCCCTTCCTTTTTCCTGCATGGTTTATTATGAGGACAACTTTTAAAAAGAGCACTGGCGTTTAAATGCTTTCTTTTTCTTTTTTATTATTATATACATATCTATCAAAACCGTAATCATGGTACAAAGGCTTGCCTGACTTGTATACTCTACCAAAGGTAGCCATAACAAAAAACTGCACAACCCTAACTAAACTTGTGTGAATATTCGAATGCTTTGAATATTATAACAAATGTTATGGTATTCAAACTCGCTTTGGTTTGAATTCAAGTTATTGAACGAATAGATGAGATTAGCGAGATGAACAAATAGATGTACATATATTAACCAGCATATAACCCCTGTAAATGTGGTTTCATTGCAGTTGAGGGATGTCAAGCCATGAAAGCACCTGTCTAAATGTATTATAGTTCGCATGTAACTTCCTGTAAAGATAGTTTCATAGCAGCACAGAAGTGCTAAGCCATAAAAAGCACTTATTCAGGAAAAATCTGACTGCCGCAAAGCCCCACTTCAAGGTTTAAATGAACATATCACCCTCACATCAATTCATCATGTTTTAAGTTTCGAAGGTTGTCATACAGACTTATATGCTCAAAATATACTAAATTTTAAAATGTAACATACTTTACAGGTGATCACTTGCATTCTCCCGAAAGTCAACCCCTACTGCTGTTCAGTTGTTCGCACTTTCTTTGAAAAAAAAAAAAAGTGTGCAGGCCTTGTTTCAATTTTCACAACATATTGCGCAAAGTAGTTGGGTCACGACAAATATGCCCATTTTTTTTTACAATGTGTAATATATCATATTCGAATTTGATTCGAAATTTTTCAACCAATATCAGTATTCGCCTCGGATTCACTTCGAACCTAAAATTCTCTATTCGCACAAGCCTAGAAACTTCTACATATTCCTTTCAGTTATGTTTATTGTGTAATCTTTTTTAATGTTGACTGTTTAATGGTTGATCATTAATCAATAAAAAGAACAATTTCCACAAAGACAGATGGCAAAATAGTTACATTACCTCTAATGCTTGCATCTTGCGAAGCAGAACTTTCCCCTCAGGGTCGTCCTTGAACTCGTTGAAGAAATCTTCAAAACGCTTCTTATACACCAGCTTGAGATCAAACTCCTTTGCCATTCTGATTTTAAAAAAAGGATACAAAAATTCAAAACATCAATATGCTACCCTGAACACTGCACGTAACAAGAGCCAAGCTGAAGGCACTAAATCTCAATTAGTGACATATTACAGTTCTGAAGACAAAAGTATCAAGAAAGTGAAAGTTGCACTCTGAAATATGGTTATAGTAAATCTGTCAGGTATTCAAACAGTAAATCTTAACTGAATATGAACATGCAAGAAAAGTGACCCTCAAATATTGAACATGTATTTTATTGTTTTCAAGATTGCACAAAAAGTATAGTTATTGCAAAGTGAGGTAGGTAAAACATCAAGTAAAACTTATAATTTATAAACAATAACACCACGCATTAGACTGGACAAATGACAAATCAGTAGTAGTCCATATATAAGCTGGTAATTTTATTTAGTTGCAAAAATTTACTGAGCATAAGTTATCTGCCATATGGGTCCGCTCAGTAGCTGCTGCTCCCATGCATTAAGAGCATCTGTTTTTCAGCAGAATCGCTCGCAATAGTTACATTTGCCCTTTTGTCTTCTCAGAACTCCAGGAGGTATACCGCTGTATTTTTCCAATTATAGATTGCACTCCTCTCTTTTCACAAGTATTAAAGCTAAAAATTAAAATACCACGAGGTTAAGAAATGCACCTATGTTCATCGCAATCAGCATAACGAAACAATGTACAAGTGTATACCCATCGCAAAATGTCATGCTCACCCGTTCGTCCCTTAATTTATGCGAACAAATTTTTCGAAAGTTCTACAAAAAAACCCCTCGACCGGCGGTTCCTCCGTAAAGTCAAGAAAACCATCGTGTACCACTTCTCTCAAAGGCATATATGAACAAAGTTTTCTGATGAACTGACGATATTTCAGTCATTTTTCATAACAGCTTTTCTGGGTCACCATTATTTGCAGTCAAATAGCATTGATGGAACGTTGGAGGCACGTCGCTCGCACAGTCTCTATAGCACGGTGTTCTCGAGGTGAACGCACATACAAGCATGCACAGTTTCAAGTACGTATAAGCTGTGCCATTGCACAAGAAGCACTATAAATATTTTGGGAGAAAAGAATGTGTGATTTGCCATGCAGGAAATAAGGTATCTGCCTTCTCATGCGACCGTAGACAAGGCTGCAATAGCAAAAGAAAGTGCCACTTACTCTTCGAGAACGTCAAAGTTTACGAGAAACTCGGGACAGTCAACCACGCCTTCCAAGTGAAAGTCGTACTGCGCTCCAAACAGGGGCAGCTCGTCCTTAGATCCGTGGAACTCAATGTGAAACACATCATTGCCAAACTTGAGGCCCGGTGCTTCTCGCACGCGGCGCCTGAAAAGAGTGAGAGGAGGCATATGACAGTGTTAGCAGACAAGTTAGCAAGATGAGAGGAAGTCAGTAATGCTTCGTAGAAGGAAAAGTTGTACAAAACACAATTAACGGTGATAGTAGTCAATGCGAGAGTGTCACACAGGTCCCGTTAATTAGGGAGGCGATCGCCGGGCTAATTCCAAGGGCCGAAATATCGGCCCCCCGAACTGCACCACGAAAGCGAGGACAATTTTAGAAGTGGTCCTTTTTGGCGCGCCAGCGGACGCCGGCCGTGGCCCAAAGAACAAGTCAGAGCCGAGAGTTGATAAACAAACAAAATTATATTCTCAATAATGGCAGATCGAAAACCATTCACAAGAATGCACACTCCAATATAGATGAGGACAATATGTCACCAATCAAACAACGTACTACACAGTACAATCAGTCACACTCGAACCAATGGACACAGACAACAATACGCACCACAATGCAGTCGCATGCATTGAACGACCAAGACACTTAAAGACTAAAGAGATAAAAAACCTATTCAGTCCAAAGTTCTTGGAACAAAAGTCTGGATGATACTCTTCCGAGAATCACTCACTCAAAGTCCAGCGTTGTCGTTCCGCTGCCCCAGAGAAGTTTCTCTCCCAGGAAACCTCGCGTCTTCAGTTGGCCTCTCTCCAAGCTTCAGACTTCTTCGCCGGAAACACGTCGGCTTCACACACGCAGCTGTTGCCACGCGTCCTCGCTCGATAGCGGTAGACACACGCTCTTGCCTGTAGCTCGAGCCTTCACCCCTCAGGTGGAAATCCTCTTCATCTCCTGCTTTGTCGCTACGGACAAAACCTTCGCCGACTACACGGCGGGATCCCTTCGCGCTCTGGCGCTAACTTCCGTCTTCTCCTGATCTCTCGTCTCGGTTGCTCGGTTAAATACCTTCCCCGCGACATTCCAGAAGGTTCTCGTCATTTCGTCGGCGCGATACGCAGCGAAGGCTGGGGGGAGAGCGAGGCGGTTGGAACACCCTCCACGGAGGATGACTCAACTCGGTATGGCCACGCCCCTTTCCTTCCAGAAAAATCGAGTGCTTGCTCGGCCGCCGTTGTGGGGTGAGGAGGTTCGTCGGCGAAGCCACGCTTCCGCGGGGAGAGCGCGCGCCCGGGGAGCCTTGGATGTTTGTTTTCTTTTTTTTCTTTTGACCTCGCGGCGTTTCTCCCGCCCGTTATCGCAAGAATTTGGCGGCGCGCCCATTTGTAGCGCTTGTTCTGTGACACTGCCCCCCACTTTAAGAATATTATCTCATAATATTCAAAACCACACAAACGAGCGCGAACAGTCACCACACACTCTGAAAGACTGTAACACAAACCGTCGCTCATGACACTTCACATTCCCAATAGATCGCTCAATACAATCTTACATTGTAGTTCAATTCCACAACACATGAAATATAGCCACAGGTACACGACTACAACACTTCATCACTCATTCCAAACAATACAAACGTACAAAGTTCTCTCATTACAACAATTATACAACACTATACATCACATCATCGCACAGAACACTTTGACTCGCTCGACATACACTTGTGACACAGTATAACAAGAACATTAACACAACATATGTCACTCAGCCCTGCCAAACACATTCTGATTCGACTTAAGCACTTATCCTGCGTACTTTGAGCGGCGCTTGCGCCCTTTCTTGCGGTGCTCGCTCGACCTCTTCTTGTGTTTCCACGTTACTTTTCGGCGAGCCCTTTCCAACGACGATATCTGAGGCGGCGTCTCAGCCATCGTTGTCACTTCCGACACCGTTAACGGGTCATAACGTTCAACGGGTCCTGTATGTTTATTTACCAGCTCGTTCACGTCACGGCATTGGGCTTGGCTGGCCAACTCCGTCACCATTCCACTGTCGGTCGGTTGGGGTCGTGCCGACGTACGTCCAGCTGCCCAGCACGTGAACTTATTCGACACGATTGTCTTCTCCTTCGCTGTCTCTTGCGCCGCGGCTTCACCTTGGGCTCTAGTGAGATCCGTCACGGGATGCTCCTCCACTGTATCTCGCGGCCGCTGGACTGGCGAGGGCTCTATCTTCGGGTCTTCCTCCAAACGTTCTGGATCATTCGGCCCTCGCGCTCCGTTGATGTTTCCGATGACAAGGTCGTACAGGGGGGTCGTCATGCATAAAGCGGTAACCTTCCCACTGAAGTACGGGGTTTCAACCTCAATTTCTGCTTCGGGAAGCATCCGAACTGTACGGTCAATTAGGCAAACCGGTTTCGTTTTGCCTGTTAACTCACTTTCCCGTACCAAGTTTCTCCGCACGATAACAGTGGAGCTGCCGGTATCCCTTAACACTGTAACCTTTTTGTCCGCAACTTTTCCAGGCAGCGTTGGCATTCCCTTCGAAACACCGGTTGGCTGTTTTGCCATTACCGCACCCACAATAGGAATTTTCTCTCCACTTTTCAACTCTACGAATCCATCTGTGACGGCCTTATCATCGGATTTCGGTGCTGCTAGCACACAGGACACCTGGAGAGTTGGAGTCGCTCCGTTTCGACATGCGTCTGCTTTGTGCCTAGTCTGACCACACTTGAAACATTTTACAACCGTGGGGCTCGTGAAGTTAGTTCGGCAGTGGTTAGCACGGTGACCCACTCGGTTACACAGAAAACATTGCGGAACGCTCTCCGGTGCACGCTTCTTTTCTTCGGGAGCCGATTTCTTCGAATCTTCGGGACACTCCTTTTTGACTTTGGCCAAATTAGTGCCACCTTGCGCTTCCAAGAATTGATCAGCTAATTCAAGCATGTCTTCAAGTGACTTAGCTCTCCTCTCTTTCAAATACAGCGACAGGCTTGGGTGGCAACTAGTACGAAATTGTTTTCTTATTAGGAGCTCTCTAAGTTCATCGTACTCCTGCGCTGTCCCTGAAAGTTCAATCTATCTGTCGAAATAATGGCTAAGTCGGGCGGCGTACTGTGTAGCCGTCTCACCATCAGGTGGCTTTCCTGTCCGAAATCTGTCCCGGAAACCTTCTACAGTAAATCTAAATCGCTTCAGCAAAGCAGTTTTCACCTTTGCATAGTTGGCTGCATCAGTCGGCGTTAGCCTACTGTACACACTGAGCGCTTCACCACTCAAGCAAGTACTCAAAGCAGTTGCCCATTGATGTTCCGGCCAATTCTGACTCCTTGCAATCGTCTCAAATCGGTGAAGGTACGCGTCAAGGTCGTCCTTCCTTTCATCAAACGCTACGAGCAGCTTGCTCGGGTTCAAGCGGAAGCCATGATCTTCCCGTTCGCTGCTTTCAACTCTAGCTTGGATGGGAGTTTCACTTCGCTGTTGCAAACGGAGCCGCTCGAGTTCTATCTCGTGCTGTCGCTGCCGTTCCCTTTCCTCTCTTTCTTCTTTCGCCCTCTCAGCTGCCAGTCTTTCTCTCTCCAGCTCCAACTTCAATTGCTGCTCTCTTTCTTCCTTCAGCTGTCGCTCCCTTGCCTCTCTTTCTTCTTTCAGCTGTCGCTCCTTTGCTTCTCTTTCTTCTCTCGCCCTTTCAGCTGCCAACTTTTCTCTCTCCAGCTCCAACTTTAATTGCTGCTCTCTTTCTTCTTTCACTCTCTCAGCTGCCAACCTCTCTCGCTCCAACTCAGCTGCTTTTTCTTCCTTGGCCCTCTCAGCTGCCAACCTCTCTCGTTCCAACTCAGCTGCTTTTTCTTCCTTGGCTTTTTCTTCCTGACGCCGGCCGTGGCCCAAAGAACAAGTCAGAGCCGAGAGTTGATAAACAAACAAAATTATATTCTCAATAATGGCAGATCGAAAACCATTCACAAGAATGCACACTCCAATATAGATGAGGACAATATGTCACCAATCAAACAACGTACTGCACAGTACAATCAGCCACACTCGAACCAATGGACACAGACAACAATACGCACCACAATGCAGTCGCATGCATTGAACGACCAAGACACTTAAAGACTAAAGAGATAAAAAACCTATTCAGTCCAAAGTTCTTGGAACAAAAGTCTGGATGATACTCTTCCGAGAATCACTCACTCAAAGTCTAGCGTTGTTGTCGTTCCGCTGCCCCAGAGAAGTTTCTCTCCCAGGAAACCTCGCGTCTTCAGTTGGCCTCTCTCCAAGCTTCAGACTTCTTCGCCGGAAACACGTCGGCTTCACACACGCAGCTGTTGCCACGCGTCCTCGCTCGATAGCGGTAGACACACGCTCTTGCCTGTAGCTCGAGCCTTCACCCCTCAGGTGGAAATCCTCTTCATCTCCTGCTTTGTCGCTACGGACAAAACCTTCGCCGACTACACGGCGGGATCCCTTCGCGCCCTGGCGCTAACTTCCGTCTTCTCCTGATCTCTCGTCTCGGTTGCTCGGTTAAATACCTTCCGCGCGACATTCCAGAAGGTTCTCGTCATTTCGTCGGCGCGATACGCAGCGAAGGCTGGGGGGAGAGCGAGACGGTTGGAACACCCTCCGCGGAGGATGACTCAACTCGGTATGGCCACGCCCCTTTCCTTCCAGAAAAATCGAGTGCTTGCTCGGCCGCCGTTGTGGGGTGAGGAGGTTCGTCGGCGAAGCCACGCTTCCGTGGGGAGAGCGCGCGCCCGGGGAGCCTTGGATGTTTGTTTTCTTTTTTTTCTTTTGACCTCGCGGCGTTTCTCCCGCCCGTTATCGCAAGAATTTGGCGGCGCGCCCATTTTTAGCGCTCGTTCTGTGACAGAGAGCATAGCCATATACTTCAAGGACGTAACAAGTGTTATCGACATGAATACTTGTCAATGGTTTTTCAGAGCGAACGTACTCATTTGGCTAAAACTATTACACGTGCAATTTCGCAGCGCGAGCAGCACCTTCAACTATTGGAACCTTCTAAAATTTCACTGATGCTCATAATCAGATTCCACAAGTGCCACAAACATTTTAGAACTGAAATGAGCACGAGCAATTATGCCAGATGCATCGTTACAAACATGTAAGAGCTAATTAGTTTCACCATCGACCATACTGTTCGACGACCGATGACTTTGCTCGCATCTGTTTATGCCTCGTAGGTGCAATTTGTTTTGCTGGGCACTGTATTGCCCCACAAAGGAGTTCCTGCTTTAACTTGCATTTTAGATCCTTACTGTCACTGCTAGGTGACATATGAACCAGGAATACATATAATATACCAACCAAAAAAAAAAAGAATTTTACTGGACATAAAAGTTTTTAAGTAGAACAAACAGAACGTTCACGGCATATTACTGTAGTTCGATTCTAGGGCAGGATCACTCACACTCGAGCAGCATAAACCCTCACAATCACAATGTATTTGTTAATTACTACAAAAAATTGTAAGAAAAGTGGAATTTATTGTTTAAAAGTATTTTTTTGTACACTCTAACAAGATACATCAGCAGCACCTCATTACAAACTACAATGACAAGTATATACTTCCATTCTACTTATTTTCTATTTCCGTAGTTTGTTTTCTTTACATCTTCATAAAAGTCAGCTAACTTATAACTGAAGCCTTTCATTATTAACAGGCCATAGATGCAGACTCACACCAGGTCGTTGGCATCGGGTGTGGTGCCGATGAAGTAGCCGCCGGGGACGAGGCACTCGGCAGCATTGCGAAGCATGCACTGTGCCTGGGGTAGACTCTCAAAGCTGTAGTGGAATGTGAACTGGCAGCTCACCAAGTCCAACACAATGTCCTTGTACTTGTACCGGTCCTTTAGCCGCACCTGCAGCAGTGTGACAACAACCAGTATCATCGAACCGACTGCAATGGAATCTCACTTATGATTGATGTAACTATTTCAAGGACTACTGATGCCAATTTTGTCCACAGCGTTTGTGAAAAGCAGCGTCGCTTTAATGGGTCGAGTGCTGAGCATGCGTGCGCTTTCGGAGTTTTGTCAGCTACGTTGTCGCCACACATGATCATGTCAAGAGCGACCGTGATTTTGTCTACAACGGTTGTGGCAAACGACAACCGCAGTTATGACAATGCATGCACTGGCCATGCGCATCCTTCCAAAGCTTCGAGCACGCTGCTCTCGACCTTTGTCCCAGGGTTTCGGACTAAAGTTCCAAGGTTTCAAACTAAAGTTCCCTAGTAAAGTATCACGGTTTCGGACTAAAGGAACAGCGCTTGGAACATCCAAATTTTGGCCCAATGGGCGTTTAGATGAATGCCTCCTAAATTCATTACCAATAAAATGTGATGGGTTCCTAAAAAAACCTGGATTGAATTGGGCTGCATTTTTGACAATATGGCCAGATCACGCACAGAAATTTCAATTTCTGAGAGATTTGCCTGACAACCACACAAACGTAAGAACTGGTCGCAATCCAGAAAGACTTGGCAGGTATGCCAATCTACCACATAAAGGAGGCCACAATGTCGATTGGTAGCGCACAAAAAATACAAGGATTTTCAAGGACGAGAAAAAACTTTTGGACTTTCAAGTACCTTGAAATGCATTTTTCAAATTCAAGGGTTTCTCAAGGTTTTCAAGGACCTTTATGCACTTTGTAAGCACAGCCGCTAGAATGAAGATGAGACAAATCTGTGTACTATACGCATAATTCCCGTGCTGACCGAACGGCCGAGAGTTGCAGCTCCCATAGCCACTTGTGCCAGAGTTCCCTCTAGTGCATTTGTAGGAAGCTCTATGTCAGCGCCTGCTGTTTGACTTCAAACAGCATGTAAGCATGCTGCTGGCCAATAGCGGACACGAAGTTAGGGCAGCATTTGGATCAGGTGCAATTCTTGCCGTGGGGTGCTGTTACATGCCGGTACGACACTTCACAGTCTGCTAACGTTACATAGCGAGCCAAGCTCACACACAAAAGTAATGGGAGAGAGCCATACATCGGCGAAGTCTTCCAAAAGTCAACTCAATCGGACTCAGATCGAGCCACGAGTACGAGCCAGAGGGAGTTTGGCTCAGGAAAATTTTGATGAGTTCGAGCGTGCAATATATTCTTCTTAAGCGAGCCTGAGTGAGTTCTACTTTCTTTTACCAATGTAATGTCCTATCTATTCATTTTCAGGATTAATATCAGCCTTGCCTGAATTCACGTTTATACTATCTACTCACAGGTGTTCCAAAGCAGTGCTGTTCATACACCATTTCAATATTTATTGATCAGAGGCACAAACTATCCCCTGCATTCCAACTATTATTGATAAGTATATCTTATGTTGCCTTCTCTTCGAAGAAAAATACTCTTACTGGTTTGCAACCACTCGTAACTCGCATTCAAGGATCCTACATCAAAGGCGCTAAGAGCAGCACCAATCACATGAGATATTGGTGTTAAAGGGCGTTGACACTATGGTCGCAAAAGCTTAAATTTAGGCTTACGAACTCATGATTCGGCTCACTCAGGCTCAGATCAAGCTGCAAGTCTGAGCGAATCCGGGTGAGTAATACTTTACCGAGTCTGAGTGTGCCCATTTGAAGAAAATTTTTGTGAGCGTGAGTCTGACTGCGTCCGGCTCAAAAAAATTTTCGAGAGTCTGTGTCCGAGTGAGTCCAAAACTCAAATATAATTTATGGGTGAATCTAAGTGAGCCCCAGAAATTTCGCAAACTAATGAGGAGATCTATCATGCTTTATCATGCGTGCTCGAGGTCATTACGTGCGCCGATGTACCTTCGTTTCTCCGTGTCATCCCTCTCTGCCTAGCTTCTAGAACATTCATTGGTATGTGAAAAACACTTAAAGTGTTCAACAAACCCCTCTAACTCCGCTCGTTCTTGATGAATTCGATTCGAGAAAAGTTGGCGGCAGGGGCGGCGCCAGGATGTTTTTACTGGGGGGGCAACTACAAAAAGTGAGTTCCTCCGGGGGGGCAAGCTAGCTCTGCTCCTACTAGGTTTTCAATATATGCTTCCGGGCACTTGGGTGGGCATGGGGAGGGGGGGGGGTCAGGCGAGAATTTTGGGGGGGCTCCAGCCCACCCTTGCCCCCCCCTGGCGCCGCCCCTGGTTGGCGGCAACTGAATTTGATACTGATGTCATTGAGTGACTACTCATTGAGTGCTTCAAACATATTGGAGGGAGAGAGAAACACAAAGAGCGGAAGGGAAGGAAAGCAAAGAAGAAAAAAATTGAGAGATATGTTACCCTGGTGCAATCTGCTTCGATGAATTCAGCCTGGAATATGCGTCCTGGCTCTCGTTGTCTCCGGTGCCGCTCTTTGAGCTCCCGAAAACGTTCCTCAGCATGCTGCAGGGATGTTCCTGCTATGTCTACAAAGAACGTATTCTGTATTTGCAGTATGATTTTGCATGCAAATTATGCAGTCCAAAGAGCTTCGTGCAAAGCAAAAGTGTATTACAATTTTCGCACAATCAAGGCCGGCATAAAGCATAAATACAGAAGCTGCAAAAATTTCCATGCTATAACCAGACAGCAGGAATACCTGCTGCGGTGGTCAAGTGGTTTCCCTACAAAAGCTGTTATGAGATCACAAGTACCGTTTTTTGGTGCTATACTTGTCTGCCACTGCCGCTGCTCGTAACCACTATCGTGCGAAATAAGAAGACTAAGTAACAAAAAACACTAAAGACACAATGGGATTCGAACCTGTGTTCCCTACGCTCCAGCCAAGTATTTTACCACGTCACGCCAGTGCTTAAAACTCCATTGCAAACTGACTCTAGGCGGGCTTCATGTAGGGAGAGGAATCGGGTCAATATCAGTACTAAAGAAGCTATTTAGAACAGCAAAGTAACAAAAAGGCGTCACAAAATGCAAACTACATATTAAGTGGGTCGTTGAATGCTCCGACCCATTACGAAAACCACACGCATGATTTTTTGTTGTTAGCCACAGCATAAAAAAAGTGCGCAAAATTTCTTGCTGCAAGCGTGTAGCGGGTACCATACCTTTTCGAAGAATGACAAAGAATGGCATAGTGAATGCCTCCCTGTTACACAAAAATTACGATGATCAATGATGTAGTGGGTACCCTGAAAGTGTGATTGTAGCAGGTACCCAATGAGTGTTTAAAAAGGCTCTGGAAGGGCCACTCTTCCAGCTTTCGCTGTGACTGTGCTGTGCATTCCACACAGGCGCAACAGTTTTTTGGCACTCGAGTGCTGACCTGCAGGTCGCGGGATCAAATCCTGGCCACGGTGGCCACAATTTCGACGGAGGCCAAAACGCCCAAGGCGTACTTACATTTATGTGCTCGTTAAAGAACCCCAGGTACTAGTCGAAGTTTCCGGAGCCCTTTACTGCGGCATCTCTCATAACCATACCGCGGTTTTGAGACGTTCAACCCCATCAATTGTGTATCAGACGAGAGGAATCTAAGGGGGCTTGCTAGTCAACTCTGATGTGGTAAGCGGCAGTAAGGAGGAGGATGGTGGATCAATCTGACACACCTTGGGGCCCTATAACTTCCACCTGAATCCAAGACATCGAACTGGAACCTTTGTTAGAAATACAGCATAACTACAGACAGCTAAAATATGAACAAGTCACGGTTAGCTAAAACACATTCTTTTTGTTTCTGTCAGTACGCTTACTTCAAGGTCTGGACCATCTTTGGCATGCACATAATTAGCAGTCCTAGTTTGTGCCCTCAACTCGTTTCTCACAAGACCTGACAGAGTTCACCATTTATTGTTCACCTTTGATTTGTCTACGTCTGTACTACTATTTTACTTAGACAGCGCATGTCCTCTGCAGTGCGTCAGTGGCATATGGAGGCACATTTCAAAGTAATGGTTCATTTATGTTCCCCAGACGCTCCTGTCATGGGCCTGATACCAGAAGCACCCTGCAAAGCTCATAATTAATTTTAAATAAGCAAGAAAGTGCAACACCGAAACCGAAACCCAACCGCAGTACTATCTTTGTGTAACGTAGGCGTTGGTAACAACCATCCAAACCAGAAACCGTACAAGGTATGCTGGTCTCGCCAGCATGCGGTATGAAAGCTGCCTGCAAAAGGGGCTAAGAGCAGACGCTCACGAGAAAAGTGACCCCATTGCAACAGCCACACCAAGTCTGTTACTGACTGTGCTATGTGCACAAGCTTCTTGGAGCTATTGAAAAATGACTGAAATTCTGACACAGGTGAAGGCCAAGTAAAATTGCCGAAAAAGATTAGCGATCGCTGGTTGTGCATTTCACTGTCAGATGGCGCCACCTGTCAGGCCACTCAAGTTTGTGGGGTCGTGATCGGTAAATTCTATCGCTGAAAAGTTTTCGGACTAACTGAAGCTTTTTAATATTGCTATAGAAAGAGTGCATATGTCTGGCAATAGCGGAGTTTAAACTTGTGTTGGCAGGGCTGAGGGAAATGAATTTAGGCCAAGTACGCACCCCCTTTCGCATGATGCACTAGACCCGTCCATGGTGTGCCCTGTATATACTATAAAAAGTGTTTCTATGAGGTAATGTGCTCACTTAGTACACTACCACAATGTTCATGCATGGACCCCCTTCTGTCAACACCGTATCAACACAGTTTCCGTGAAGTGAGCCGGCATTGCTAGCTAAAACAATATAAAATATCGAGACGAAGGGTAATCGTAACCTCCGAGTGTTTCCGGAATGTTCAGGTACTAATTATACAGGGAATCATGTGCAACCACAACGCAACACCACCTGCCACCCATCGCTAGCAAGCCCACAATGAACTGAAATTTGTGTGCCGAACCAACGAAATGGCTAAGCAACAAATGGGATCATTATTGCCTTGCGAACAGTAGGCGATGTAGTGGCCCCTTGGTTCTGTCACTTTCATCGCTTTGACGTAAGCATTGGCACACACACACAATGTTACCAATTATTGTTGGATGCCAGTTCAGAGAGTCAGGGCAATCTATAAAATTTGTTTGTAAAAAATCTGCGTACCTCTTCGGCCTGTAATTGGGGACGAATGATAGAAACGTCCAAATGAACGTACCCAGCAAATTTCATTGAGATCTATTGAGCACAAAAAAATTCCAGAGTTGGCCTTTAAAGTAAACGACATGAAATCAAAGCTTTTTTTTAATACATATCAGGCTGCCAAAATGTACATATTAAAGCACACAACTTCAGCTGTCATGAAATAAAAAATGTGATCAAAAATCACAAAACATCTTTTGCCCGCTACATTCTTTGTTTATCTTACTGTGAAAATGAATACTAATTACCAGCACAAATTAGGTACGAGATGTCTCCCTTTTTCCATTTCAGCAGGTCTCCGCCTTTTCCAGCACCCAGGTCCAACACGTGAAACGGCGAGTCTTCTGGCTTGTCTTCCTTACGTTTAGTAATGTACTCCCCTGTGAAGACATCAAGAAAGTGAGAGTGGAACTCTATGAACTACATAAAACAGCTTCCACAGTATTCACACTGCATAATCGTACAAACAATACTCTGCGGGCACTCGTTATAGGGCGCCACGAAGATTACTTCAAGTATTGACACAAAGCCGTGAATAAGGGTCAAGAGCAGAGGGTACCCTGCGAGAAGGTTTTATGCAGTCGTAGAGATTTAAACTGATGGAAAATTATTGGCCGTGATCATAATATGCTAAATTTAGTAAAATGGATGCTTGAGCTCCTTGGTTACGCTTGATATTGTAACTGGTAAAACATTTCAAAACCAGAAAGAGAAGTACAACAACATGTTATGAACTAAGCAATTACTATTACTAGTTATATGCTCAGTAGGATCCACACAATGCGTGCAACACGTCTTCCCATGGCTCATGACACGATGCAACTAACGAGAGACTACAGCGCATGCCCAAATTAATAAAAACAGCGCACTCACGTATCAACATACTCTTGGTCCAGTTGTTGAAGTTCCTCATGTGCAGTATTCGACTGCGTTCCCGCTCTTGCAGGCCATTGTTGCCAATGCTGTTGTAGTGGTTCTGAACGACTGGTGCCAGACCCTCCTGGATACAACAGCAACAACTCTGAGTGCAGACAACAACAGCGTAGCAGGTACAGTTGGCTGAAAGTCACGAGTGGAAAAGAGGCGACGAAGCCACAACACAAGGCATCATCGTCCTGTCTCCTTCGCGCCTGTGTGCCGTGGTTTTTTTATGCTTTTTTCGAACATGGACAACAGCATAGCTGTCCTTACAGTGAGAGTTGAACCACTGAAAGAAAAGAGACGTGACACTGAACTGGACATTATAACCGCAATCGCCGGCCTACTATACATCCATTGCATGACAAAGGCCTCGTCTAATGTTCTCATTCAAACCCATTCCGAGAAAGCTAATTTCGTTTCATGCCAGAAAATTTCCTAATTTCATCACCCAACGAAACGGTCAGCCATCCTTGGCTACATTTACAATTTCTTGGTATCCATTCCATCCCTCTAGCTGACCATTATGTATCTGTTCTGCGCACTATACGACCCACACAGGTCCCCCTTTTCACTTTCTTCACGACAGCTGAAATATTGGCTACCCCCGTTTGTTCTCTGATCCGGTCTGCTGTCTCCCCATCTCTTAATGTTATAATGGTAATTTTCCATTCCTGTTTGCTTCTTACAGTACTCAACTTTGCCACTAGTTTCTTTGTTACCCACACATAACAGAGTGCAAGTTTTTCACAAAACTTAATTTGCCCGGTACCTTACTGCTCTCTCATCTGTGAAGAAAATTTTTCATGAAACCACTGCCCACATCACATTGTAACAACTGTGCACACAGACTTGTACAGGGTTCCCCTTCAGGTGGGGGAGGGGGGGGCAAAGGTTTATCGCAGCATCCCCCTCCCTATTATTCCAATGTACGGGGCAGACTGTGTCCCCTCAGTCCCCTTTGGTGCCCACACCTGAGCGAAACTACTCCATAATTCAAATGGCGTGGTGCATCACCACACACACAGAGGAGAAAAACACACACATGACGCAGTATCTGCCCTCCTCCTGTGTCCCTGTCGTGAGGCGCTACGCCATACGGACGCATACCAACTAGCCCCGCAATGTCTTAGGAGACCACTTGTTAAAGAAAAAAAGAAGCTCAGCAGTGGTTAGGGGATGATTTGTGTGCATCAGGCAGAGCACAGATACCGGGTAGCACCAATTAAACCTAAGAGTCATGCTGGGACATTGTCAAGATAGTGCTATGATTCATGATGCGGCCGTCCTAAGCTACCATCTGGCCACGCGTTCCTGTGAACTAGCTTCGTAGGCGAAAGTGCTACACTCCTAATCTGGCCCTTGTTTGTGCAAGAATATTTAACCTCTGGCAAGCAATCGGTGCAGAAATTGCAGAAAGTACACAAATGCCATGAGGTTTCTTTCAGTGTTAATATGGTTTGCACTATCTCTAAGCTGACTCCTTACTATGGATCAGTTGTTTGTGTTTTGGGGAGGAATCACTGCCAATGAAATTTATCTATGGCTGACATGTCGAATATGCGAGGCTGTGGAAGACAGCGAAGTGTGGACAGTCGTTACATGTGACGGGGATGCGGCAATCCAAATAAATCATAAGTTAAGGAACAATGGAAGATTGAAGAGAAGAAAAATCCTCAGAAGATATGATGTCACTGAAAATGTGGCAAGTGTTTTTGGCACAGTCCTTGGCTAAAACATATAAACTTATGATTTAGTGTCGCAACGTGTGTAGACTCACTGGAAATGTCGCAGCAAAGAGCAGTGCAGGCTGTAAATGATCAACATAACAAAAGATTTCCTGTGTAGAAACGGCAGATTGTGCAAGCAACTGCGCGACTGAGTTTAGACAGATGTAGTAAGCATCCTTGTATGTGAAAGGTCACGGGTATCAAAAGCGTTCGGTACCAGCGACCATAAATATTAAATAAACGTCTTCTCTCTTGCACATTAACCACAGGGCACATCTTTTTTTATTTGACGATTTCAACGTTTAATCCCATGTCTGCTCTTCTTTGTCGCATGCGACAAATACTTCGATTTTATGCGGCGTAAACCATCAGTGTGTTGACTGTATGTCAAACACGTTAGTAGTTCCCCGTAAGGAAAGTTATTCTTAGGCTTTCGATCACCAGTCAGTATATCTCTGAACGTGCGAAAACACGCTGTTCTGCCCCGCGCATATTTTTAAAGCAACTGAGAAATGAACCACAAACTTCGACGAACCCTCTACCCACGATGCGCCACTTGGTACCAACAACGCACAGCACAAAACAGCGAACAACATCTGCCAATTAAATGTTTATTTGCCGTAGCCTCGGTGCGCACAATGTGCTTGCAGTGTAAATGCCGATCGCCTTCGAGTTCACATGCCGATTGAACAATCCTTGAAACGATCGTGCATCACCTTCCACCAAGAAGCTGGGTCAGTTTTCTTACCGCTGAATTCGCGTCACCTGTTGAATGATTCTCCTCAGACATGGCTCTCTATAAACGTACTAACCACTAAAGCTGTGACCAAACCACGGCTACGTCAAGGTAAAATCAAGACACCGAAAAGCCATGACAAGAACGACCTACGATCTCTCTGCCAGATTTGCCGCAAACTGTGCCAACAATATAAACACTACTCAAGTCAACAAAAACCAGTCGTAGCCAATATTTGATGTTGCTGATAATGATTTTGTACATGACAAAATTTTGTTGTATTGCAAATTTCTGATTGTTATAACAATTTACTGTTTGTTTACTTGTGTAATGAAATTGTAGTGATAGTTTTAAAAACGTTAATTATGCATTTGTGGGCTGAAGCAGCCGAAGACACCGATATTTTGTAAACAATACATGCAGTACGCACTCAATCCAATCCATTAGGCAGCAGAAGCGCGGGAGCAGCGAACGGAGCAGACAACTTTAAAGACTCCCAAGTCTCTAAATCGCAGTACTGATGATGTCAGGTCGCGATGGCACCCTCAAAGGTGATTCGCGGAGTGGCGCTGGAACGTGGATCATCGAGGTGAAGAAGCGTCTCTTGAGAAACCTCGACACGCAAGCAAAACCCGACCTGTTGAAGTCCTACGGCGAGCAAAAGCGGTGAGCTTGTATTCAGAGTGCTCTCAAGTCGCATGCACCGATCAGGTGTGACGTAAATGCTGCGGTAAAAGAAACGATCCTGTCAAACGGTTGCATCGGCACGTTTTTTTGCCTGCAGCGTACTGGAAGAATTGTTGTCAAGAGCGGTCGAGCTAGGCGAGAGCAACTCCGTTTTGGTAGTTGGACCCAGAGGATGCGGAAAGACATCGGTGGGTTCAATGATTTCGCTTCTCTGTTAATCCTCGCTTTGCCATCATTGCCCCCCCCCCCCCCAAAAAAAAAAAGGAAACGTCGCCTGCTCATTAAGGTGCATATACTACCCCGTTATTATATCAGGTCAATTATTCCGAATACAGATTTGGAACGCAAGCTTGTGTAAAAAGCTGGTCATGGCTGTAGGAGTCGTATGGAGGTAGCATTTTGAAGAAATGTAGTTTATAAAAATGTAAGACAATAATAAAAAGTTTTTTTTTAATTTAAAAGGTAATTCGTCAACTACACAACAGTGATACAATCGTCAGAATATTTGCCAAGCATATAGGAATGACGGCAATTATGAAGAAAGTTAAAAAAAAAAGGGAATGCAGTGCACGACAACAAAAGACTCAGATCTTGCAATATGCTGCTATTATGCAATCATTAACACGCACAACAATTGGTATAAAATGAAAAGAGTAAAAACAAATGTAAGGCATACTTGAAAAATTTCACAAAAAGTAAGTCACAGGATGGTATTTCATTCAGTGCATCCTGGACGTGCTTATTTTTCAGCTGATTTTGGCCGTTCTAGATAGAGCCTCCGAACGCAAGGAGATCGCTTCAAACTACCTTCTCGTTAAGTTGAACGGTGAGTGACATTCGTACTTTCTCCTTCCACTGTTCTTTGAAATAGAATCTCTGCGAATTCTGGTAGCTGTCGAGACTTACGAATAGACGCACATATACACCTCTGCACAGGTTTTACTCATACGGATGACAAGATTGCTCTGAAAGACATTACGCGTCAGCTGCATTTAGAGAACGTCGTTGGCGACAGAGTATTTGTGAGTACTTGCACGGAGGCATTTTCAGTGCGGTATTTCGTTTTTTTAGAAGTGTGAAGAAGTGTTCGTGCCATGACTGAGTCGCATCTACTTTTCACTCACCATCTTTTCAGGGAAGCTTTTCCGAGAACCTTACATTTCTACTAGAATGTCTGAAATCGGGTATGTCACATAGAACTTGCTGCTACTTCATGTATCTCATGTACCTCAGTGCCAGCATCCTCTTGTGAACGCTATTTCTCCATTTGTAAGCATCCATTTTGTAGACACATGTTACCACAATGGCCCAACATTGTGGTATTTGAGTCAAATGTATTATTTCAGCACACATTAGTTTGCGTACCTGAGAATATGATGTGTGGTATTGGGGCTATCATAAAATCCCCACAAAATATGCCCCCCCCCCTACTGTGAAAGAAAATACAAGATTTGGAGGAAGGGCACTTGCTCAGTTGCGTATCGAAATTCTAAATAGCAGTGAAAGAGTCGTAAGGAATAAAGAGGGCATGCCCGCACATCTAATGACATGCTTTAATGACTAAACATGCATTCACTGTTTTTATGTGACCATGTTGGGCACATAAAAACAGGAATGAAACAGTGAAAATGGCAAGAAGAGAGTGTGGACACTTGCCCAGTCACTGGTGAATATTTCAAGTCACCCAAAAAAAGGAAGGAGGGCATTTGCTTGTGTTAGCAGAGCTTGCTTGGGATTTCACAGTACATCTACATACCAAACAATACCAAACCAAACACATTTCCTGTGTTGTGTGTCTCTGTGTTTATGTCTTCGCAGTTAAACTACAACTATCAGCAAACACTCATTACACCAAGAAACGTCTTGCTGTGTTGCCAGCTTTTGTCCTCAGTTTTATGATGCGCACTGTCTGATTTGTGTCTTATTTCAGGTGGCGAGCAAAGCAAAACGATTGTCTTTGTTGTGGACGAGTTCGACATGTTTTGCTCCCACAAGAATCAAACTCTTCTGTACAATTTGTTTGATGTTGCGCAGTCGGCTCAAGCACCCATATTAGTTATTGGAATCACCTGCCGGCTCGTAAGTAACATTCCTCCCATTTTTCTTGCTCTAGGCCCTTCACGCTGGCCGTATCATACATAATCATGTATGTAATTGATTGTTCAAAGACACCATAAAACATTATCGATCATTCAAAGACACCGTGAAACATGGCAGCTCCTCAGTATGTCGGCGTCGTGCTGGGCAAGGAATCACTTAACATACGTAATATTGAGCGGGTAAAGGGTAAACTATCAACCAGGCATTGCATAATGTGAATTGCACATCTAGTGGGTTGTTTAATGCTTCCTACCTATTACAAAAAGAGCTCAGCCATAATTCTTCGCCATAAGCCGCAGGATCTACAGAGTAAGCATAATGCCTTACTTCTGTAGTAAGTACCTCGATTCTTCGCAAATTGATGAATAGTGGCAGAGTGAAAGCTTCCTTACTGAATAAAAATTATGAAAATCATTGTGCAGTGGGTGCCATATGAGTTGTACTTGTATCAGTTTTCGCAAAAGACTTGTCAACGAGCTTTAGAAAGGTCAGTTCTTCCAGCTGTTGCTCTTACTGTCTGTGTGTTTCGCGTGAGCCTGAGGTTCTTTCTTCGGTTTTTTTACGCAGATTACGCGTGTGTCGAGGCTCTTGATATAGTTAGCGAGTTACATCATATGTGCAACTTTTCAGGATGCCGTTGAACTTCTCGAGAAGAGAGTCAAGTCTCGCTTCTCCCATCGCCAGCTTCACTTGTTCCCCAACTTCAGCTTCGAGGAATATCTCGGCATCATGGTTGATCACCTGTCCTTGCCCAACGACTTTCGAAGTAGAAAGCTGAGAGAAGAATGGAACGCCTCTGTCAAGGTGATAACCAGGTGTCTTGTTATTGACGGTTCTTGATAGATCACAGGGGGGCACTCGTAGTTCGGTATGGCCCAGCATCATGCCTGTTTGGTTTTTATGAGAAAAAAAAAATTTGTTATTTCTAATTCCTCTATGAAAGTAGGTGACCCATGAGAAAGGTCACATTTCACGAAGCATCGGTTCCTATTCTGATGGGAGGGAAAAACTTTGTTTTCTCTTGAGGTTGCACTTTTTCCACTGACAGACAGGCAACTGCGGGCAACGTACCAACGTGCATGTGATATTGTAGTTTATCTGCTCAGATGTGCCTAGCAAGTATGCCATAAAAATACCCCAATTTAAAGAGCACATTTTGATAGAATACATCCCATGTAAAAATTGCACATTTTATATTGTGCCTTATTTCTTTAAAACATTAACAGAAGATTTGTGACTAGGCACAACAAAACACTTCAAATTCCCCAAGTAGAGGCAAGTTTGAGTGGACTTTGAACATGCCCACAGTGTGTTAGTGTGATTGAGTAGGGGTAGATGCCATCGGTGTAGACAAAACAGAGCCTTGTGTTTTTCCTTTTTCTGAAATTTGGTTTATTCTGCAGGATTTTGCCCAAGAGAGTGCTGTGAGGACAGCCTTGCAACGGCTGTACTCAACCAACAAGGACATTCGGGCTATGCAGTATCTGTTGGTATGATTTGTCTTCTTCTTGTAAATGCTTCTGACCATGCTAGTCTGGCTTGTATTAGACAAAACTTTTGCCACCGGTATTTCCAGCCATACTGAAGGATCTGGTGCTGAAATCTGTACACAAACCTTCCAGGTCCGGCAGAAACTGGTGCGAAAGAATGCATTTGTATTTTTCACACGCTACCGCGTCTAACGTCCCCTTCGTTAACTAAGGGAGATGACAGTTTGTGTCCTCATAAATTGGCGCGCTAATCTTGGACAGTGCGAGCCGTCGCCTGTGTTCCTGCTCTCACTACGGTTTCTATAAACAGTTTGGTCGGCACCAGCACTGAACTATGCTTTCAGGTGGAGGAAGCCCCTAAAGCAGTGATAACCTGACTTGAATGTTTCAGGGACCCCTTATAGACGGGTGAAATTTATGGGGGACCCTTTGCGGCGAGCAAAAGTTGGGGTCATAAGTTAATGCATCGTGCAGCGCGAAATAGGTCAGCTTTATTTCTACCTGGTAAAGAACGATCAAACCTAAGTGCCATGACAATTCGATCTCAACAGCTTACTGGTTAGTTCCAAGGTCTGCAGTCACACTCAACCTGTTACTGGCTGCATTTGCTTTTTGAGTTTGCAAGCCTGGAAAAAGCATGCCATGCGTTTGTCGTAAAAGAACTGCAACATAAGCTCGACATCCATATCACAAAGTAGGGACAGCATAAGTCAGCTTTGCCGCAGGGTAAAAATACTATGCGGAGAAGCATGCAAATTAAAAGGGGTTGTTGTCGTGGGTCGTAGTGTGGCTTGAAAAAGTTTTTTTTTTTCCTTTTTTCCCCGAATATGGACTTCATAAACTCCAAAAATAGTTTTTCAGACCTTAATTTGAGAACAACTCCCTAAAGGCTGGGCACACCTCAGTGCCTTTGTGAAAAAAGGAGAGTGGGAGGTAAACGTAAGGGGAAGTAGCTGGATAGAAAAAAGCGCGCCCTGCATCCGCAACTTTTGATGTCACGGCCGTCGATGCACAGTCCCTCTCATGCTGGTGGGCAGCTGCTGCACGCCGACAATCTTCCAAAAATAAAGCCAACTGTTTAAAAATACGTGAAATAAATTCTGTTCATCGGAGCAGTTTCATCTTCTGAGTGGTATTTGAAGTTCTTGTCGTTTCTTCCTATTTATTTTCAGTATTTCTTCATGACATCTTTTGACAAATGTGTCGACCGTCTCTGTATACTTTGGGTGTGTTTGGAAGGCCACAAATCTTCTTGCTTAATTTTTTATCTGTCGATCAAATGCTTATTGACACTGACTGATTACAAAACATCTACAGAATTCCTAGAACTACCTTGAGTTGCATAAAATTAATCAGTCTATAGATTAATTTTTAAAATGTTTAGAAGTTCAAAAAAACGGTGTAAACACAGGACAAAGAAAGGTGACACGAGAGCGGCACTGTTTCCCTCCTTTTTTCGTGGTGACGCTGTTTTATTTCTTTTTTTTTTCATCTTTCGAGTTATGTACCAACATTTCACTACGATGCACCACTGCAGAGAGGAAGTTCTTATATAATGCAGTGATTGAAAATGGGACCTAATAAACCGGGCCAAAGAGAATAGCAAATAAATATTAGGAAATAAAGCTAAAAATGTACCTTTAGTAGCCTTTTATTTAGCAATCCTTGTACTTAACACATGAACCACTTTTTGTGGGCAGCTCTATATATACGTATATTGTGGCAAACATAGCATTTCATGTGCTAGATTTGTTTTGACGGAATGATTAGCAATTTGATATATTACAGCATATGCAACAAAACTGTTCTCGTTTATGATAGACTTGTTGGACACAATAGGACAAAGCTTCCCACAACGTTGCTGAAACACCCCACTGTGGCGTGATTCATAATCACAGCATGTGCATCTGAAACGCGAACAGCCTATGACCATCAGGTTATGCGCCGCACTGAACCATGGGCAGTAACGTTCATTATAGCTTGCTCATATAGTTACATCTAATACATAGGCGAGTATGTTTGAAGATGTGTATTTTGCGCAAATTAATTTTAACAATGTTGAGCTAGTGAGTAATTCACTGTGCCCGAGTTTTTTAATTAATCAGCCTTAAGCAGAAATTTCTGAACAAGGTACAAAAAGCAAACTTAAATGAACCAAACCAGCTATCAAACGAATCGCATATGGTCTGTAATATGCTGAATAATTTTGTTTTAAAGGGGCCCATGAAACACTTTTTTAAGTAACCATGGAATGAATTACTGGAAGAGCTTACTTGCCTCACGAATTCAACTGCTCAAAAATTTTAAGAATCCGTCCAGTGTGAGTGGAGTTACTAAGGTTTGTCGCATGCTGCAATTGCATTCTCTCGTCCCGAGTAAAGCGCTGGAAGCTAAGCAGGGAGAGATGGCAGGGCCACAAAAAAACGTCACGTGTGCCTTGTGACCTTGAGCACTTTTTTTTTTTCTTCGAATGCAAAACGTTTTTAGTGTGATCGCGCGCATGCGTGGACAAGTAGCGGCCTCTCGCGGCGATCTCTGTAACGAGCGCGCGCGCCATGTTCAAATCAGCCAATGGCTGATATATGGGTCGTTGATGTGTGATTTTTTTGGCGAGTAACGGGATTTGTTGAGAGAAGAGAAAGCAGTTTTTAGCTAACTGATAATTTCTTTTGAATTCTAGGCAGCGTGCTGCTCTATAATAATTTGGCTCGCGCGTTGTCGGGAGCCTCTACTACCGATCGGCAGCGTTTACTGACCATGCTCAAAAAGTGTTGCAGGGCCCCTTTAAAACTGAAGTATGTGACAGTATATGGTCATAGCAAGACTCACAGATTTCTGTTTCTCGGCTTTCTTGCATATCTTGTTAGGAGACTAGCCATATGCATGCCAACTTTTCTACAGGCTGCTGCAATTAGTCTAATGCATGTTTCTACAAGTGAACACATCCACTTCATTTTGCTAGCTGCCCGTTAGTAGGATGTACGTATTTAGTTTTTTATGTCTTTAGTTTGCCTGTTTTGTAACATTTAAAGGTGCAGTTGTTTTGTTGGATATGAATTTTACAGCTGCCACCTGTTATGCGCCTTTCGGAAGAAAGTCCAAAACTGGATGCAGTCCACCTCCTTGAGTCTCAAAGGCAGCAACTTGAAGACTCCAATGTTGCCCTTCTGAAAGGTACATTGACGTGCGAACACATGGACACACATGCGCTGTATCAGTATATCCCGCTGAGACTACGTTCACTACTGTGTATTCGTTTTACGTTACCATTTGTAATTGTTGATCACATTACAGGGGTGAGCAACCATCAATCGGCCGAGACAGCGGCTTTTATTTCTCAATCCTATGTGCACTTTGTGACACAAGAGAACAATGACTGCTTGATTTTTTGATTGATTGATTGATTGATATATTTATGAGATTGTCATATTGGAGCACATTGCCAAATAGTAATAGAGGCATTTTTTTTTCAGTGACATTAAAAAGTGAGGCAGCATTGTGGCAGGCAGCTATACTTTTAAATGTGTTTCTCCTCTTGATTTGTTGATCTCTTGTAGCTTCCACACTTATTGCTTCCACAGGGGTGCATGGAACTACTGAGACAAAGCATAGGTTTAAAGGGGCCCTGCAGAACTTTTACAGCATGGTCAGGAAATGCTACGGAGTGATAGTTGAAGCGTCCGAGAACACGCACGCCAAACAACATAGTGCAGCACGCGGCCTTCAATTTACAATACGTTTTCAAAGTCAGCTAGAAATCTTTTTCTCTTCTCTCGACAAATGACTCTGTAAGCTCAAAGATCACTACTTCCCAGACCAAGTGCCGGCCATTAGCTGATTTGAGCACAGCGCGCTCAGTCATTACTGCGGCCACGCGGGAAGCCATGACTTGTCTGCACATGCGGGTGCAATCGCGCTGGAAATCCGCGCAATGGGGACAAAAAAAAAAGAGAGAGAGAGAGAAAGTGCTCGAGCTCACTATGCTGCTTTCGTCAATACAACATAAGAGAAAATGCAATTGCAGTGTGTGACAGATCTTTGTAACTCTGCCTGTACTGGGCAGATTCTATAAATTTTTTGCAGCAGCGAATTCTAAACATTTTTTTAACGGCAAATTCGTTAGGCAATGAGCTCCTTTAGTGAATCCGTTCCATGTCTACTTGGAAAAATATTTGAGGGCCCTTTAAGGGGCCCTGCAGCACTTTATTAAAAATCTAAATAGGCCTCACTAGAGAATGCTTATTGCCTCACGAGTTAACCGCTGAAATTTTTTTTTATTTGTTTAATACGAGTGAAGTTGCGGAGATTTGTTGCATGCTGCAATTTCTCTCTTCTCTCGTTTCGATGAGCATGCTCGAAGCTAAACAGGGAGGAATGGCACAGGGGAAAGAAGTTTTGGCACGCGGAAGTCATGACATTAAACACGTTTTTCTCGCTTTCCCTTCTTGCTCCCACCGAACGCGTGGCTTGCTATGCGCATGAAGTCGTGTGGCAGCTTCTTGTAGTGGCCACTAACTGTGGCCATTAACTGTGCAGCTAGAAATGCTCGAATCAGCCAATGGCCTTTAATTCGGATATACAGCATCATTTGTAGAAAGAAGAGGGAACGATTGATAGCTGACTTCAAGAATTAATTGTAAATTTTAGGCTGTGAGCCATGCTATAACATTTGGCTCGCACGTTTTCGGGAGCCTCAATGCAGCGTTTTCTGATCATGCCGAAAAAATGTTTCAGGGCCCTTTTGAGAGTGTGAAGTGCGCGGTACGCTTCACACAGGCTTTTAAGTCCACATGCGACGAGCATTTCTTGGTGTTTAAGCATTGATGTGTTGGTGTTTAATTATTCCTAGGAAGAAACCTTTCACAGGTATAAAGAGAAACATCATTCTTTACTGCTTCACTGATCTGCCTTTGTTAGGTGCGTATGTCTCATGTGTATCTTTGGATTCTAGGGTTGTCAATGCTAGAGCTGTCGCTGGTCATTGCGATGGTGCACTTGACAAAGATCTATGACGGAGAGCCATTCAACTTCGAGATGGTTTATAAAGGTAAGGAAGAACTTCCAAGTAATTAATAAAAGGAAATAATTTTGAACTTTTGTTTATGGGAAGGAAAATAAAAAGCTGTTGTTGAAGAAGCAGTACAAAATTGTGCATGGAGTACAGGCAATAAGAAGCAGTGTTTATGGGCCCGCCCCTGCCCCTGTGTAATGAAAGTGCTTCAGAAACTTGGCTTATTACAATAACAGCGTGCTGTCACTATGTAAACAACTGCATTGCTACCTTGCACGCTTTCTCCTTGAATATTCGGCGCCAGCTTTTGAAGAACGTTGAACCTCAGAAACATCCTCGACTGATCAAAATGTACTTGCCAGTTTTCCAAGAATCAATACTTTTTTTAGCATAAACTTCAGTGAAAAGAGACGGAAAAGTCCCAATACGCAGAAGTGGTAGTGTGCAGTAGCAATTTTCGCGTCCCTTGTATCTGGAGTTTGTGCTAAAGAAATGTCAGTGGACTACCAGCTGGCCTCAAACATGCGCACTGTTTTCCGAGATATGTGCCCATGATAACCCACTCTCGGCTTAAATAGTGCACGCAACTTTTACAAGAGTTGTAAAGCACCGATGTGCTCAGTGATGAGTGCACCATAATCCACCTGAACATTGCTGCAAAAGCTCGATCTCGCGACATTTATTAACAAGCGTTTCTTTTCTCTCCATTGGCGGTGGCAAAACTTAGTGTAAAGGTGGCACATTTTTCTTTGCTTTTCCATTGCAGAGTTTTTAAAATTTGCAGCTGGAAAGTCGTCCCTGGAAACCACCAAGCCCGTTGTTATGAAGGTATCGCAACTTACATTATTTTCTGGACTTATTTCAAGAAGGCAGCGATAACCACGCTCACCAACCTGGTTCTTTGAAGTGTTTGAAGTCTGCGGCCGTGACACTAGAAAGGGGAAATAGCATGAACTTAAATTAAGGGTACCCTGGGTGCATGCGTCTTCAATGTTGCTATGTTATGAACATTTACTAGCCCTTACAGGCAGCAGCCAAGTTGGCAAGGTGAGTCGTTAACAATAAATTAATGTGTAGTAAGCGTGTCCAAATATTTTAATAAATATTAGTGTATTCCAGTTCGCTGTGATTCGCATTTAAATTATTGGAAAATGTGAACGTGTAGACGTATTAATCCGCATGCAACCCCTTGTAAATGCGGCTTCACTACAATGGAGGAGTGCTATACCGTGATTACATCTTTACAGGAAAGGTCAGCACTGCCGCGAAGCTCAATTTGAAGGTTAACGTATTATCCCCAGATCGATTCTTTTTACAGCGAAAGCTGTTATGAGATCACAACACAAGTTGCTTGCGCGCCGTAGTTGTCCGCCGCCGCCGCAGGTGTCCGTAACCACTATCACACAGAAGAAAAAAAAAACTCGGTAAATAATTGCAAATAAAAAACACCAAGGACACAATGGGATTCGAACCCAGGGCCCTTGCGTGCCAGTCCAATATTATAACACTAAGCTATGCTGGTTCTTAGAACGTCTTTGCAAACTGGCCTTAGGTAGGATTGATGCCGAGAAAGTAATCGTGTTAATGTGAGTGATAAAGCCTTTTAGAACAGCAAAGGAACAACCAGGTGTCACATAATGCGAATAGTGTAACGAGTGGGTCATTAAGTGTTCCAACCCTTTACAAGAGCTTGATCTTGTTCACCGTTAAACTGTGGCACGTACCAACTGTGAAGGATTGTGGAGATTACAAAAGCTTCTGGCATAATTCATCATCCTCAGTCACAGCACAAAAAAAAATTGCAAAGATCTTTGCAAGTGTGCAGCGAGTGCCAACCTTCTCTGAAGGATGGCATAATGAATGCCTGCCTACTATGCAGTCATTAATGGCGTAGTGGATGATACTTTGTGAGTGTGCTACAGCAGTTACCCAAAGAGTGTTAAAAGAAAGCTCTGAAAGGCCGTTCTTCCACCTTTTTGCTGGAATAGTGCTGCAGTTCTGCTCTCCATGCAGGCCTGGCGTTTTTATTAAGCTTAAAAGCTTCCGGCTTATACACTTAAAATATAGTAAATTTTAAAACATAACATCTTTGACTAGTTGTCACTTGCATTCTACTGAAAACCACTGCTACTATTAAAACTTGTTTCACTTTCCTTTAAACCAAAAAGATTTACATTAGTGCATGCCTTGCTCCAATTTTTCTTTAATATTTAGCAGGTTAATTTGGTCATGACAAATATGCTAATTTTTTTACTATATGCAATCTATACTTTTCGAATTGAAATTACTCAAACCAAATCATTATTCTCTTCTAACCTAAAATTTAATATTTGCGCAAGCCTAGCTTTTAGATCAGAATGTATTTTTCACAGCTGACTTTTGCTCACCACTATCAGAACACAGCAAATCTTTCTTTAAAAAACTCAATCCAGCCTGATAGCAGTGTTTATTTTGTCTGCTTGAAGAACTTGTCCGTGGGAACTTGCTCAAAGGGAGTGCCATACCACTTTTGTGTCTTTTTTCCATCTGAATCCCATGTGAAAGTTTGGAGACCGATAAGAGAGAGCTTCGCTAGGATAATCTTTTTATTATAAGACAAAGAAAGAGCCTAAATTATTAATCCTAATAAAAAAAGAACAAGAGAAAAAGTTTGGGAGACAAGAAAAAATTTTCATTGCTTTTATATTTTCTAAGCAATTGAAGTGTCTGAAGCTGTTCGGTTGCCAGCATACCCCTACATGTTGCACTTAGAGATTGCAGCACCAAAATATCATAGTGTTGCAACCTATAAATAAGAAGGCCTACATCGTGCTGACATGGATATACATCAGTCATGGGTTCAGCACCGACAATACTGATTCATACCATTTAAAATGTGCATAGATGTTGTTATAATGTAGCTATAATGGAAAGATAGGTTGTGCAGAGTTCCAGAGTACTTCCACAAGTAAACTTCATAAACCACAAATTTTGGCTGCACATTAAGAATAAAGGCAAAGCCTTCCACTGCAATTTCTGCGATAACTGCTACATTCTTGTTTGAAATATCAGAACCCAGCCGGTCTCTCGGTCATGTGAAGCTGCCTTTGATAAGCACATTGCTGATTCCATCTTCCCCGACTTTCCCAGGCATTCCAGCAGTTGGAGGCGTCAGAGTTCGTGCAGCCCGTGTCTCGGAGCCTCGCCACCGTGCAGTACGAATTCCGGCTCATGCAGCTACTCGTCGATCCGTCACAGGTGCACGAGGTGGTGCACAGGTCCTCGTCCCTGCCTACCGAACTCGCCCATTGGGCGGTGTCCGTCGTAGGAAGCTAACAGCTTCTTGACGTTGCATTTGTGGCTAATGCGTATTGGTGGTGTTGCCACTCTTGAAGACCAGCTGTTGTGCCTGTGATCACCATTCCTTCTCGAAGACATTCCTGGCATCGGAGTACACCGTCAAGTTATGGGAGTGCTTAAGAACCTCTGCTGTTGCCCCTTCCTCAACCGAATCTGTTTGCACATGTTCAGTGCTATTGTTTTGCATGAGGTTGCGGCGTACCAATAAAATACGAAGATTTGCGTGCGTCATAAGTTACGTGTGTGAGTGACCACTCTAATTAATTGACTGATATGTGGGGTTTAACGTCCCAAAACCACCGTATGATTATGAGACACCGTAGTGGAGGGCTCCGGAAATTTCGACCACCTGGGGTTCTTTAACGTGCAGCCAAATCTGATCACACAGGCCTACAACATTTTTGAGTGACCACGCTAAGTCATAGGCTAAAGATTCAGAACATTTTCTGCTGTACGTGGCCATGTAGTTGGGGTACATCTGGATTATAAAGAGAAAGCTTCCTGACAAAGATGCATTGTCGTGTAGGTGACCGACACGGCCGAGTTGTTACTGGAAGCTTGCCTATACCCTTAAATAAAAAAATATGCTGGGCGATTTCTCGCTTCAGCAGCTACATTCTAGTAAGACCTGGAACGCAGGCACCAATTACTTCCTTTTCTTTTCCTCATGTATGTTTTAAGTGTACTTCAACTTTTGCTTGAAGTTTGAGGAATCTTGGTACGAATGACTGTTGGGCAATGTAGTCTTTCAATATCACCGTGTTGTTTATCACTAACGAAGTGCATAGGAGAACGTAACCAACAAACTTTATTTATTTACTTGACCTTACAAAATTGCAAAAGTTAACCCCGCGTTCTTTGTGCTTTTGTGCATTACATTTATCATTATAATACATTATCTTGCTCTACAAGTTTCGTTGACGACCTCTGTTGAAATACACGGGGACAGCCTGCAACTAGGAACAAAGCCCTGGCCACTGTCTGAAATCTTGGAATGCTGGCACGACTAGCAGGTCTCGCACCTCAGTGGCACGTCATCGGTGGCACGCGAGCTGAGACACAAATGCCTGTGCTCGTTCCTCAGCATAGTGCAAAACGTCTGCATGACGACATTCACGCTAACAGCAGAAGGCTGAATTAGAAGAGCATGTATCCACCATTTGGCTTCCAATTGTACAGAAAATCTTGAAGACCTTGCTAACCTTTCATGTGTCTGCCATGCATGCACTCCATTCCATGAAAGCACATTGCCAACAATGCAAATGTCAATATATTGCTATTGCAGTAAAACAACAGCAATGTTAGAACGATTCCATAGTTTGTGTGCCTTCATAGAGGATATTTAAGAAAATGTCAAATACTTTCACAGGCGTATCAGCCGGGGGGCAAGGGGGGCTGAGCCCCCCCACTTTTGACAGTGGTCACTCTCAGTTGCACGCTGGGGAAACCGACAACTAAGGCGAAGTTTTCCTTTAACACAGTAATCACACAATTATATTGGTACGAGGAAATGAAAATGTTGCCTGGGAATGTTTTAGTATAGTAAAATTTTTTTCTAAATTTCTGCTCTGACTATTGTCCTTGAATGTCCCTTGCGGCGCGAGCCGCCTATACGATTCTATTGCGCCTTGTACTATTCGCAACTCAAATGAACATGAGAGGACGCTGCGGAGTTGCAGCATGGCAGATTCACGGAGGCCACCGCGCCCGCTGTCGCTAACACAATTATTGAGTTTCCTGCAGTGTGACTGCAGGAAACTCAATTATTGACTGCTGCTTTGTAGAAGGGGAGCGGGTTGTTGACGCCGAGCATCATATTTTAGTCGGCACCAGTGGTCCCGCAAGCGCGGGCAGCGTTCTTGAAGTGGTCGCGTTGTGTAATACACATGGCGCAGCACGTCTCTGCGAAATTTGTTTACATCGGGCGCCGCTGCAAAGTGTAGTCACTGGATACAATGATCATTTAATAGGTTCGAGTGAACAAATTAACACTGGTGCCTCACCTAGAAAGAAGGAATCTGCTTGGCCGTTCATTTTTTCTTCACGGGCGGAACCATTCTACCATGCTCCTACCGTACACGACTGGCGCTTGGACTGTTTGAACCTCAGTACGCAGTTTCTCTATATTGCCGCTAGGTGCCGCATGAATTGCTCGAGTCGCGAATAGCATTGTAAAGCGGCTGCAGTTCTAGGCGCGAAAGCATCTTGTACTAGCTTTGTTATGGATGGGAATGAGCAATCCTTTATTGGACCAGTCAGAGCATTTCCTGCTTCAGGAAAATGTCTCCTTTCATCAAAAATAAATAGCGTCATTGCTGCTCTATCAAAGCTGCGGTAGGCCGATGATTGTGACGGATAGTTTTAAATGCTTTAGTTCAGCCTTACTACATGCGCCACAAAAAGGTTTGCGCTTTAGTCTGATAAATCTGATCAGCCTTGCTTACAATAACTAGGAGCAATGGCAGCAGTTTGCAAAGTGGCGAAGAATAAAACAGTGGACTTAAGTACACTGGGAAGCTCAGCTTCTAAGCTTACCCTGCAGCTTGACCCTCCGGACTAAGGAGAAGGTGAAAAACCGTGGTTTTCTACACAATGAAAGCCTTATTAGGAGTTAAGCTAGTTAGTTTTCATTCAACTTGAATTGTCTTTTACAGCTCGAAATACAACTCTCACAGAAAAGAAGCACGCACGCGCAGCGCTGCTTAGTTCTCTCCCTCAGCAGAGATGAGCTCACAGAGATGTACACGCACCTACATCCTTAAAAGTTTTCCGGAGTAACTGCGCAATTACTTCTGAAAAGGGCTTTTTGCTGCAACAAAAGACGAAATGTGCACTAAAGATTGCACTCAGCACCACAAGGAGGCGCACTTTCCTCTTTTGTGGAGTAAAGCACCCGTTCTTTGGGGTAACTGCAGGAATGTTTGCGCCATGCGCAAACGACTCATCGGTGCCTACACAAGCCTGTTTCATTTCAGACGGTTCTGTAACGTGGTCTGGAGTAGTGGTCACAGACGCGCAGGCTGGCTGAATGGTCGTGAGTTGATTGATCGATATATGGGGTTCAAAGTCTCAAAACCACCATATGATTATGAGAGACGCTGTAGTGGAGGGCTCTGGAAATTTTGACCACCTGGAGTTCTTTGCCGTGCACCCAAATCTGAGCACACTGGCATACAGAATTTTTGCCTCCATCGAAAATGCAGCAATCAAAAAGTGTATATACATATATATAACAGGAAACAGGCAGAAAATATCGCAGAGTATCTTGAAAATAAGGGCCTTCACATAGAATGTTTGAGAAAATGTCCCTCAGTATCTTTGAAATAAGGCCTTCATACAGAATGTTTCAGAAAATGGCAGCTGATATCCTTAAATAGGGAACTTCGTACAGAAGTTTAAGAAAAGGCACCGAATATTAAAATATGAGCCATCATACAAAACGCTCAAGAAAAAGTCACCTAATATCGTCAAAGTAAGGAACTTCATGCAGTATATTTTAGAAAATGTCTGATTATCCTTAAATAAAAGGGCCTTCATGACGTTTCTGAAATTGTCACCGAATATTCTCAAAGTATGAGGCACTCATATAGGAAGTTTCAGAAAATTTCACCAAATATTTTCAAAATAGGGGATTCATACAAAATGTTTCAAAAAATGCCGCTGAGTATCTTGAAAATAAGGACCTGTATATCGAATATTTCAGAGAATGACACCCGATATCCTCAAAAAAAGAAACTTGATCCAGGACCTTTAAGCAAATGGCACCGAATATCAAAATATGGGCCTTCATTTAAAACATTCAAGAAAATGTCACCCAATATCCTCAAAGTAAAAACTTCATGCAGTACATTTTGGAAAATGTCACTGAATATCCTTAAAACACGAGCCTTCACACAGGACGTTTCAGAAAATTTCCCCAGATATCCTCAAAATAAGGGCCTTATACAGAATGTTTTAGAATAAGTTGCAGAGTATATTGATACAGAACGTTTCAGAAAATGGCACCTGATATGCTCAAAATATGATTTATATGTAGGGTTGTCATGAGTGAGTGTGACTTCAGAGTGCCGGTAGTGGCAGTGATGTGTTCTCTGTGTCTTGTTGTGGTATCGCCAGTGTGGCAAACGGGGTGGCGTGGACACGTGCGGTGCAATGAAAATGAAGACGTTGACGGGCGATTGCACGTGTCAACGGATGACTGAAAAAAGCGCCACGACCGATTGGAAGGCAGCACGACAGCGGTAGAGAAGAAAACAAGAACCAATGAAAACGTGGCACAGTGGCGGGGGAAAGAAGACGATGACGGACTAGTAGGCCGTGGGAGATTCTGATTTGGACAGTGCAGAGGAAGAGATGCTGGCGTCAGGGTGTGTGCCGTCGAGCTTCGCAGTTCGAGCACAAAGGGCCCGACAGCATCCGTCTCCAGACGTCCATGGAAAAGGGCGATCCTGGCGACAAGGCGTTATCTCCATCCACACAGCTGATCCGGGCAGCCGAACCTCCGGGCAAGCAGACTTTACTGTCTTGGGGGCCGAGAGAGACCCCAATGTAGCCACAGGGACACGACGCTGGTTTCAGGGTCCGTGCTATCGACCTGTGGAGTCGGGTACGAAGGGCCCGACAGTGTCAAAGTCACCAGGGGTCCAAACAGCTGGCCCTTCTGCCTCTTGCCTGCCGCAGGACGAGCATGAGTGCCTACTGGCAGACTCCACGCCGAGTATGTGGGCATGGAGGTTGCCGGCCTGCTGCGCTTAAAGGGTGCAGCAGCCTTCTCCAGTCACTCTGCGCAAACTCTCCTCTTCAACCGTTCTGCAAGCGTCCTCGCCGTCAACGTCTCCGCACCAACGGCTACGCTACCAACCCACCGCAGGCATCGCCAAAAATGATGACATTGAACTTTCTCTTTGAACAGTCTTCAAGACTTTATAGCTAATGCATCGCCAGTCGCGGTACCTTTAACGCGTCAGTTCACTCCGTTTTTTTTTGCGATCGCTTGTTCCTTTTTTCCGGGTGTCATAAAGTTATGTTCTGTTTGTTGTTTGGAAAACGACCTTTTTTTTCCTGTCTGAGGCCTTGCTCCAACTGAAACAATCACAACTCTGTAAACCTGCATAACAGGGGTTAAGCGTCCGAAAACCACCATATTGGTGGTTTTCGGACGCTAAACCCCTGTCGGACACCGTAGTGGAGGGCTCCGGAAAGTTCAACCACCTGGGGAACGTGCACCCAAATCTTAGCACACGAGCCTACAGCATTTTCGCCTCCATCAAATATGCAGCCGCTGCAGCTAGGTTTCGATCCCGCGACCTGCGGGTCTGCAACCGAGTGCCTTATCCACTAGACCACTGTAATGGGGCGACATACTCAAAATAAGGAACTTGTTACAAGACCTTTGAGCAAATGTCATTGAAAAATATGGCCTTCATACAAACGTTCAAGAAAACGTCACCTAATATTCAAATGTGCAGCTGCTGCAGCCAGGTTTCGATCCCGCGACCTGCGGGTCTGCAACCGAGTGCCTTATCCACTAGACCGTTGTTGTAGGGCGACATCCTCAAAATAAGGAACTTGTTACAAGACCTTTAAGCAAATGGCATTCAATATCAAAATACGGGCCTTCATACAAACGTTCGAGAAAACGTCACCTAATATTCTCAAAGTAAGGAACTTCATGCAGGACATTTCAGAAAATGTCACTGAATATCCTTAAATTAAGAGCCTTCATACAAGACGTTCCAGAAATTGTGACCGAATATACTAAAGATAGGGGCATTCATAAAGGAAGTTTCAGAAAACTTCACCAAATATCCTCAAAATAAGGGCCTTCGTACAGGACGTTTTCTAAAAATAAGGAAACTAGTGATATTTTTCTTGCTACCTTGAGTTCTACATTTCCTGTAATTCCATATATCCCCAAGATGACAGGAGAGTAAATTAGAGAAATTACATTCTGATTAGAGAACACAGGTGGTTGGAATGAATCTGAAAATTAAGTCCTTTGGCAAAAAGCCCATTGACCTCTTCGAGATTTCAGAAAACTGGACACTGGCAACTCTTGCAGAGGGACCAAATCCAACCCAGTTTGCCGACGAAATTGAAAAAATCTTCAGAGATGCCTAGAGCGAGCATCTCTATATCACCCATCAGTCTGATTCACTTGGTGTATGTGTTTGAGGGCTGCACTTACCCAGCACGATAGCACGATGGGTTGTTAGCATAGCAGGAACAACACCACCGCTATGATTGGTAACCGTGTCATCATTCTTGGAGTGTGCCAAGGACATGATGGCTTCCGTTTCGCCAGTTGAGTCCGATCGAACGTCACCATTCTGCAAAGCAGCAATGGTGCTCTTTGCAGAAACCACTTAAGTTCCCTCGTTTGACCATGTTACCCGACCATTTAATCATAAGGTCAACTTTTTAATGTGCATTTACAGCCATTATTTCTAGTACATGATGACTGTTGCGAGAAAAATTACGAATGCAGAAAGCAAATTGCATTTCGCTTTTTTTGGGAGGTTTTCAGACACATTTCTTCCAACACGTGGCATATGAAAATAGGCGGGATGGAAGTTTCTGATGCAATAATTCAAAATGGTGGAAAAATTCACGAGACCAAGCAAACGCACGTTAAGTCATCTTTCTTTTATTGTAAATCTGCTCGGGCAAATAGACAAAGCATGCAAATTATTTTGGTCTTTAAACAGAGTAAACACAGTATGCAGCAACAACAAAACAGAAAAAAAGAGGGTCAGAGAGGAAGAACATTTGTGGGAGGCAATGTACAACAGGGAAACGTGATGAATGAGCACATGTAAATGAGTGAAATCTGTACACTGCAATGTGGTATGCTTGTAGCAGCACCTTTCATTTTTTTTGTTGTTCTATCTTTCGAGACGCATGCTTCAGGCGCCATCGTTCGTTGTTTATTCTTTACAGGACGATGGCGTTGCTTCTCACCGACAGCTGAAGCAGTAGCAAGTAGCAACAACTGCCACAGCAGCTCTCGACAGCAAGGCTGGCCTCACCGGCAACTACAACAATAGGGCAAACCAACATTCGAGCATGAAAAGCCTCGGCCATTACACTGTGCGTGGGCAGGAGTTAAAAAGCTCTGGACACTCGCTTCTTTCAAGCAGACGTTAAGGGACGCGCAGCCGAGAACACTGCGGTGTCTTCCACGTGCGATCTCGACTGAACTACACAGGGGAAAGCCAAAAACTGGCGCCCTTTCTTGTGATGTTGGGGGGAAACAAAAATAGACTATTAAGTAAATAAGTCACAATAGGCTGGATTACACGCACCACAAAGCAACCCACTTTAGGTGTACAAGTTGAAACTCTTCCACTCGAGCAATGTCTCAGTCCAACAATATACGACAGTGTCTCACTTCGTGTGCGGGGGAAATCACCAGACACCAAAGTACAACAGGTTTATACCGGAGGTGAGTGAAAATGCGTGCCTTTGCTGCCTCGAAGGGAATGTGGATTTGCCCAGCACTAACTAAATGTATCTGCAAAGCGCGACATCCAACTTCTTTCACGCTCCATACATCTCGACAAAGTTGAATTAGCAAGACGAAAAGGCCTTGCAAACATTTGCGGTCTACACTCCAAACTGACGGACATAGTCTCAATTTATCAATCCTGAGGCATACCTTCAGGCTTATACGAAGAAATATGCAGTAACAACCTCTGCAAGATGAAAATATTACCATGTAACAGTACCTTAATGATGACGACAACTATGCACTGCCAAGCGTGATATTACAGGTCAAGTTCCCCATCACAACAGCTGAATTACAATCATGGTGGAATGCAATTATGATTGTATGCCCAACGTGGCATGTGTAATGAGAGTCCACAAGTTTTCAAAGTTATTCTGAGGCCCTCCACTAGAAGGCAAGACCACCAGTCAGCGTAAACAAATGTGACATCCTCACGAGTGTTCCATGGAGAATATGGCCAAGGATTTGACAAAACATGACATGAGATAGCTGCTTGCAGTTCGAGAATGGTGCACAAATTCCATACCAAGACAGAAAAAAAGACCAGAAGACGACATAAATGCCGACAACACTTTGCTCGTTCCATCTTCGCAGACCTGTTTCTAGCACAGAACCCACACAGCTAGTCCAAGCCAATGCCTTGCTCTACAACTCATGCGAGCGTGCAGCACAAAGTGCGAGCAAGGCATTCACAGACCTATCTACAAAGCAAACCGGGCCAATTAAATACCTGACCAGCTCTGCTAGCAAGACCCCTGTAAACCAACAGAAGGCCGCAATGAAGCCACAGAGGTGTCCCGATTTGATATACAGTTTCCTTTGGGTGTCTGGGAATCCATGGCACTTCACTCCCACCTTTAGTGTACATCAGTCAAACACTCAGCGACAAAGCCTTAATAAAAAAAATGAAAACAAAAACACCTATGCAACAAGATGGGATGACTGCAAGGAAAAATGTTAAGCATGGTACTAACACAATGACAAACCTAGATATTCTCACCTAAGAAAATGCACACTTCTACAGATGTCAATCACAAGACTTACAAAAATCTACGGTATTAAAAATAAAATTTTGCATCTCTGGAGCAATGATTACAATGCCTTTTTTTTTTTTTTTTTTGCTGTGCGAGTTCTCCAAAGTAGCGCCAAGCTAGCCATTATCAAGAAATGTCCTTTCTCGGTCTAAGCAATTCCTTCCCTCCTGCAGGGAAGCCAAGTCTGGCATCTGTGTTGCCAAGCTAGGTCTAGGTTTTTTGTGCATTTTTTTTTTCTTTTCAAGTGCAATCCAGCAGAATTCAACTGTCAACAAAAGAACACAAAAGGCACTTATCATAACCTGGTTTTTCGTCTACAAGTGTTTTTTTACCTTTTCGATTGCATTCGCGTGAAACACTGTTGCGAACAATGCCTGCCTGTCGTGTCCCAATAAGACCTATTTGAAATTAAAAAAAAATTGACACAAGCAAATAGAGCAAGCCTTATCGCTACACTTTTGTATAGCAACTGCACATCGAGACATCATTCACGGAGACATGTTAACAAGAGAACACGATGTAGCCTGGACACCCTCCTTTATATCCACATATACAGCATGCTCACGAATAAAACACTTGATCTAGTTTCCTATTACGACAGGGCACAGGCTTGACTGTGAGACAGCGGTCTTAATGAAGGATACCAGGACTCCGTACAAGCCATTTCTTCCAGAGCTGTCTCAATGATTCATGCAAAAACTTGCGTTCAAAGAGCACAAAGAGAGCATCGGTATGCATATTGTCTACAGTCAGGAAATAATTTGTACTTCAGCTGCCGCAACGTGAAAGAAACAGGCTGATGTCTTTTTTTCTTTTTTGCTGTCTGTCTGTCAGCAAGAAAGACGGAGACTAATTTGTAGTCCATAGACAGCCTCTGTTCAGCCTGTAGTATGTACACCGAGAACCGAGATGAAGGGAACAAAATGAATAAGAGAATCTCGGGCAAAGTGATTTCAGACTTATCTCTCTAGCATGCCCGTCTAAGCGCAAACTTCGCCCCTCCCCTCCATAAACACTGTCGAGAACAACGCACATCTCTCGAGCACACCACCCAACGCCGGATATCTCGAGAAAACTGCACGTGAAAGAATCCGGTGAGCATAAAGTCTTTCCCGTCAGCAGATGCGGCTGCCTTTCGTCGCGACGTTTGACTCATGTTTTGTTTCCATACTGTCACACATGAAGTGCGTCACACTTAAAATCACTCATCCGAACGACACTCCCAATCTCTCTTTAAGTAGTGATCGACAAACACTGGCTTGTGTCGCAGTGCTTGGGAACATGTAAGGGCGCACATTCACACACAATTTTTTTCTCTCTCTCAAAACAAGCGACGAAGAGCTGCAAAGAGTCCAACCACCACAATCAACGCCGTCTCCGGCTGCAGGAGGGCTTTACTGGCCATCTAAACACGAAACATAAATACAAACCTGATGGCCGTACATGCACAAAAGGAGAGGAAAAAAATACGGGGGCCATGGGCGAAAACGGCGAAACCATCGAAATAGGAACTGTGGTTCAACATCCGTTTGCACGACCACCACTTTTTTTTTTCTTTTTAACAGCGCGCCCAATAAGGATACCCGTTGGACTTCAAGAGATGATGCCATGCGTCAACAAAAAAAAAGAGGGGGGGGGGGGGGGGTAGGGTAAACAAAGTTCGATTTGGCACATTTGGAAACAGCAGTGAGAGATTTTTCAACAGAATGCTGTGATCAGAGAAAAAGGTACACACACGAGACTGCAGACACTCTAGTGCTGAGGGTAGTTGACAAAAATGACGAGTTCAAGTTTTTTTGTTTAAGGGAATGACTATACAAGGAAAAAAAAGGAGAAGGAAAAAATTAGAAGGAAAGTCGCCTCCACAGTGCAATTAGAGCCCAGCTGCACGAACACTCAAAGTAGAACTATTGAAGTATTCTCTTCACCAACTCGGCTCACACATAAAGTACACAAGAACCAACAACACTTTATCAGCTAAGAAGCTTTCCTGTTTTTTAGAAGTTTATATAGATTTCCTTTGCATGTTCGTGCCACTATTTTTACATTTACAAACTTTACTACAATTTGAGTACTTCTTAAGAACACATTTTTCAGCTAGCATTTAAGGAAGCTATGCACGTGATGGCCAGGAGTCGGTTCCAATAGACTGAAAGGACTTTCCAATTTAGCATAGAGATTATCCACCAAAGCATTAAACGTGGGTAACTGCCTATACTATAAGCAGGTAAACTACTCGTAGCGAATGCATACAACTCTGCCAAGTTTTCTGATAAATGTGGTCTTGAAGCATTTGTCATTGTTGTGATCATTTTAAACCTATATTATATCTCCACAGCCAAACGAAGGTTTCTCCCAATGTCTGTCCTTAGCTAACCAATTCCTCTTTATCCCGTAGAGAAAAAAATAAAATAATTCGTTGGTTGATTACTCTCTCCCCCTTATTTCAGTGTTGAATCGTCCGAGGTGAGTGGAATGGAACTAATGTTCTAAGCAAAAGTACTTTAAACTTATCTGCACTAAAAAAACCACGCACACACAAAAAAAAGTGGCACAAAAGCCAGTGCAACATTCTGTATCTGCCTTCCAATCAAACTGCAGCTACCACTTACAAGGCCGAGGCGCAGCCATGTACACATGCCACTAAAGTACCATTTGCATTGAGAAGCGACTGTTGTGGCTGGGATCGAACTCGCGCCCTTCAGGTCGGCAGTTGAAATGTTACATAAAGGTGTAAACTGATAACTGTAATGCACAAAGACCCTTACCACTTGTACTTCCCTAGCTACATACCTTGCTTTTGCAGAGAAGACGCGTAGTGTATGCTACTTTAAACAGGGTGCACTGCTGATGGTGACAGTCAAGAACTTGCCCACTAAAATGATGACACACAGGAAAGCAACAGGTCTACCTACACCATTCAACTTTGTGACCATTATAAAAGGCTTGTGCACTTACAAAAAGAGAGTTCTACAAGTGGCGCTTAACATTTCTACGCTAAATGGGCCATAGTCTTGGTTACTTCGAAACAAAAAAAGCCATAGAGACCACTGGATTAATAGTGCGAAATTCCCAACAAATTGGGCACTAGATTTACCATCAATTTTTACGAATTTCATGCCTTTTTTTTAAGCGTTTTCCTAAAGCCAAGGCACAGCGAAGAGAAAACAGAAAATCGTGCACATGGTTCAATACTCTCAATTTCTCGTTGCTGCCAATCGCATAAGCCTGTCCATTTCGACACAGCAAGTCAAGCCCATCTTACTTGGCGAGACGCTTCATGCAGCTGAGCTGGGGCAACTGTTTCAGCAGCGTTTATTATTTTTGTAATCTTCAACCACCTTTCACAGTTTTAAGTAGCACACACAATGACTCCACCGTAGAACTTAAAAACGTACAGGTAGTTTGTACACAGAGGAATGTTGGCAGTGATGGGCAAGTATGTCCCCCCTGTTTTTTTTGTGTGTATATTTTAAATCTTTTTCTTGTCCTTGTACCATCAACAAAACGATAGCCTTTTCCTAAGCGTTTGTCCCAGAAGCACGGTTTCATCGACAGTGCAAGTTGAGCCACCTTGGAACAAAGGACCCCCGTATCTTCGCACGAGACATTCCAAGTATACCCGGATGCTCTAAGAAAGCTGCCTTCCGGAATACCTGTATTGCATGAAAAGCGACTAAATAACGAGACCTGTGCATTTGGTGACAGTACCACACCCACTTCTTCTTTTTTTTTTTTCATTTCATCGTCAACCAGAGTGAGCAAATGATTTCTACGTTGCGACAGCGACATCGACAGTTTGCCAGAAGTCAAGGAGCGTGTCGTCTGCCGATGGTAGCAGACGAAATGCAGATCATGGTGCCACTGGCAGAAGATGTACGCTTTGGCTACGACTGTGTGCTTTTACCCGACATTGCATCGTGGCAGGAGAATCGCACTCTTGCCACGTCCTGAATCGTTGTGCGATGGGGACGTCGAAGCGTCATACGAAACTAATGCCAACTCCAAGGGCAGCGATGACAAAAAAACACTGATGAACTGATCGGAAACTCAAAAGTGAAGAAGAAGAGTGAGAGACGGAACACGAGAGAAACAGAATCCAAAAACGAACAAGAAAACTGCGATTAAGTTTGTCGCTACCCGTAGACATAGGTTATTCCCGGCTCGCTCGCGCTTTCGAAGACAAAAAAAAAAAAAAAAAAAGAACCGAGAGAAACCTAGAAAAGTGTTTTTTTTTAATGTGCTCCAGCACTGGGAGGGAAAAAAAGCAAAGCAACTATCCCGAGCAGCTGTTTTGTCTTGCCTCCCCCCCCACAATGCCTGCCGTGTTGAAATAGAGTTGGCACTACAGTCTTTTGAAACACAAAGTTGAATACATATACAGTATCATAACAGAAAAAGGTCATCAACACAAAGAATGACAAAACAAGCATAATCGAGGTATGTATCAATGAAAAATATGTCTCCTTCAACATGAACAGAGTAAAAAAGAACAGCACAATCTACCTTCTACTGGGATCACGTCTTAACACATTTGTCAATAAAAAGAGAGAAAAACTATACTATATATATAAAAAAGCATATTCTGTCCATGTCTAAACAAAGTTGTTAAGATTTAAAAGGTTTATGCAATGAATAAAATGTACAATTTGATATCGGCTTATACATAACGTGAGGAAAACAACACTTGTACTTTTTCTTAAGGGGCACCAACGCCACAGACGTATACACAGCAGTCACACGCGCACATACACACAGAATTTTTTTTTGTTGCTCATTTTTCCCGGCTGCTGTCCTGGCTCACGAGAATAAACGGACAGCCCCCCTTCGACCACCACAAAGTTAGTCGCTTACCGAAAAAGAAAGTGAGAGAGAAAAAATGGGGAGGAGTGCTTAGCTACACACTCGCCAAACACACTTGTCCCATATCTAATTTCAAGAGACGCGATCCTTTGAGCCTCTTGTCGGCTAAGAAATCGGCACTTTACCGAAGCTGCTATAATCCGACTCTGATCCAGCGTGGCCCAGCGGGTCCGAAGCAAGTCAACGAAAAACAGCACTCCTATGGAGACGCAATCAAAGCAATACTCGAAGAGTACACGAACTGCACGTCAAATCAGCGTTTATGCCAGCCTAGTGTCACAGTCACCATTGTATACTTTTTAGCAGGTACGGGCAAGCCTTTAATGAATCATAGCAGTACACTTGCAATAAAATGCCTCTCTAGTCTCTCTTTTTTGTCACAACATTAAGCCTTAAATAGATTCTCGCTCGGGGCCGTATCTTCTTACCTCTGTATTTACACAGTACAAGAAATGCAAGTAGTTTTCTGCTGCAGTTTTCAGTGGTGACACTAGAATATGTGCGAGGAAGTTCATCCAACTATTTCGCCAACTGTGCCTACCAATTTGTCTTGTAGACGAGGCTGGTGCGAAGCTCTTTAGTAACCACCCCACGGAGTCATCTGTGATCGAGATTTGCAACATTCTTGGTGCACTTAGTCTAGTAACGAATGAGCCTTGACCTAGTAATACCCATTTCGATCAAAGTTTAGTACATAGCACCCTAAATTGGTTATAAGGTAGGGATGAAAACAAAATCAAGTCACCAATAGCCACGGTATTCAAGAAACACCTAAACAGTTACTCCCAAAAAGAAGCAACAGGCCGCTGGTACACAGTTAACTGAGCCAAGTCAAGCTCTAGAACACCAGAACTATATTTCGTACGCCACCTCTGGATTCAAAGCGTACTTCTCACATGATCAAGAAACAGACCAAGGTCTACAATGAAGCAGCACACCGAACATAATGCACCAAGAATCGTTGCCTCTCATAAGAATTTCACAGCGAATGAGTCGGTGCTTAAGACAGCAGACAAGGCTGCACCCCTCTTCCCTCACACGACCAGACGAACAATCGTCTTGATGTAGGCTTTGAAGGCGGTGATAAAAGAGAGCACCAAGAGGAGAGATGGAGTAATGCTCCAAGTATCCTGGAGGCACAATTACGATACTACCACAGGCAGCAATACTGCAACACGCCTCGCATCAGAAGTTTGACATGGTGTGTTTAATAGGCTTGTTAGTAGCGCCGTCGCACGTGAGCCGTGCTCACTAATAGTAATGAGCCGCACCTGAAAGTATTGACAAGGCTTGAGCTTTAGTAGTGGCGCCTCAACGGCACGTACGCCCGTTTCAGATGGGTGTATGCAAAAAAGTTTGAGTAGGTACAAAATAGCACTGAACTCAACCGTTCTGGCAGAAAAAAAAAAAAGCAATGTAAAGGAGTTTACGTGTTAGTTTTTTCTAGGGGAAGCTTCTGCATTGTAGGCTCTGTGCCACTTGCACAGTCTGTGAGAAAATGCACTGGCAACAAGGATGTTTTTTGCATGCCGAATTCTACGTTGCTACTCTTATCATGTTGCAGTAGCAAGTAGTTATTTATGCCGTTGGGTTCTCAATTCCTTGCAAAGATATTCGCAATGGTCACTTGTTATGCCTCTGAAGCGAAAAGCCAGTTAATGAAATGCTGCTAGGCGTGCATCGCCATAGCTGTAGTTAGTTTGCACTCTTATCTACCAGACACTGCTGAAATAGTAAGCATTGTTTATGCTAAATGCTATGCAAAAACCATTACATAATGGCCACTTTGAATATGAAGCAAGCCAATTTATCAGCAATGCCTGCTGTATGAGCTAATCACCCAATTTCGAAATATGAATTCATAGTGAGCTGCTGTAAAAAATGTCTCGTGGCTCTGTAAATGGGGTAATCTCTCTCCTGTTAAGGATCTGCCATCACGGGCACAGCACCAACAGAGCGGCACAACCAGCGTACTCTGAAATGATTGCTTTCCTGTGATGTGGCACCCAGATGGCATCTCTATACAGTGCTCTGATGATGTATCTCTGCCGATACAACCAAAGTGTCATCGTCCATTAAAAAATGCTGCCAAAACACTGCTGCAAATAAGCCACCATCTTACGAGACCATTAGAGCTCTAATTTTACCCCCGAGCCATTGCCTGAGTATTGTAATGGCGCATGCGAAGAAGCATATTTAATAGGCTTGTGCGAATAGTGAATGTCAGGTTCGAAGCGAAGAGTGATGTGGTTACGGACACCGGCGGCGGCAGCGTACAACTATGGCGCTGCGCGAGACACCGAGTTGTGATTGCATATCACCTTTCGCTGTAAAAGTGTAGCAGGGCCCCTTTAAATTTCGTTTCGTACAACCACCACTATTCGTTCGAATAGTCGACAAGCATTCGAATATTCGCACAAGCCTAGTATTTACAAGGACTAAAAAGGAACGCGAAAGAAAACATGACAATTGCTGCACTTGCAACTATTTCAATTCAGAACAAATGCTTCATATTTATGGGCCAGAGCAAGCTTGGATGTGATGCAACGATACCCGCCATGGTGGTCTAGTAGCTAAGGCCCTCGGCTGCAGATCCGCAGGTCGCGGGATCGAACCCCAGCCGTTCTTGATGGAGGCGAAAATGCTTGAGGCCTGTGTGCGTAGATTAGGTGTACGTCGAATAACGCCAAGTGGTCGAAATTTCCGGAGCCCTCCACTACGGGGTCTCTCATAATCATATGGCGTTTTCAGGACGTTAAAACCCCAACAATTATCAATTATGCAACAACAATGTAAAGGGATTTCTTATATCCCAGGTCCACACACACTCGTACAATAGAAATATAAGCGTGTGCATTTTTTCAATGCTTCAATGCTCGGGTGTCTATGAATTTACCATCCTTCACCTGGTTGTTACATATCTTTGAGATCCAAGCACTTGCACAGGCATATACTGTAAGTGAAGCGTTTGTTCCGGAATGAATTAGTTGCGAGTGCAGCAAACGCAGTGTTTTCTCATGTCTTTTTGCTTAGTTGTCATTAGCACATCGATTCGCTCACACTTGAGTGGCTTTTAAAATAACCAGCTTGCCAAACTAGTCGCAAGTGCCCGGGTATTGTGTTGCAACGTCTTCCAAAAGCCACCAAAATCCAACTGTTTCTAGCCAACTTAACCTTAGAGCCGTAGCAAATTTTCAGGCCATTTCGGTGACGCTGATAGCCCGTGGGTTGCCCTGGTAGAAATCCTTTACAGATCAAGCTGGGACCTGTCTTGAACATGCCATTCTGCTTTGGTATCCTTTGAAAGCAAAGCCTATTGGACACCAAGTTTTAGTAACACTACCCTTCCACACAACCAGCTTCCATGAGAGAAACTCGGTCGGATGTTGCAAAGTACGCCTCGCAACGCAATCATCTCAAAATACGGTCCCTAAACCAACTGTGCTCTCTCAAGTGCATCCATTTCTAACCAATGTTTTTGAAACAGGAGGGAGAGTATCCCATGTGCTTTTGCACTACACCCCGACGTGTGATCTCAATTGTCGCCTATAGCATTTGAATGTCGCATAACAATCTTACAAAAAGTTTAGCTTCAGACAAGAAGACTAGCCTCGTCTCGAGTTATGGGCAGAAGCATTGTTAGGCTGTGCTCTGGAGTAGATGGACATTTTGCTTTGACAGTTACAGTCTTTGAGGAGAGAAAATAATATCGAAGTAAAGTACTGCCTGGGCCCCCTCCGTTTCAAAACATCCTTTTTTTTTAAGGGACCCTGTTTAGAGCTTCTCTACAGAAAAGCAAGCAGTTGAGGGGTATTTTGTACCATTGCGTGTCTAAAGCAAAAAAAAAAAAACCTTAAAGCTTCGCTACATAAATAGAAGCCATCTAGAGTGAAAATTTTCTCATTCATCCCGCAAAGAGGCAGCAAAGTGTTCAATGCCAGTCTCCCCAATCAAGGGAGCAGTAAATATATATAGCATCTGCAAATCTTCTGTGATACTTAGAAGTATATATAATATATGTTTCCATCTTAAAAAACTGGCAAACAGAGATTAGAACGAGCAAAATAGATTTTGGAGAAGCCTCTTCCCGCTTGCTCAAAGCAGCGAGGCCGACCCCCTTTCCGAACGTTTCCAAAATGGACCAGTAGGGGCCACTGCTGTCAGCGCGAGGTGGGAAAGGCTCATTTTGTCACACCTTGTTCAAGATATGTCGCCACATTTTTAGAAATCTTTCTGGATTTTGATCAGAAATTAATTACTTTCTGTCTGCCACAGTAAAAGTAGCTTAAAATGACACTTACAAGTACACAATGTTCTTTCACTGAACTGATTACAGTTATGAAAATTAACAAAAATACACCCATCCCAGGCTGACAGTCACAGCCACCACACCCACCATACGAGAATGAAATCTCTTGGTAGTATTATGGCTGTGCATGTAGAATGTGAGACGACCTAGGCTGAACGTTGTCAATCTAAAACATAATACGGCCCAAGCAACCAGAAGTCGCGCCATTTTAGGACGATGCATTTCATTTGAAATAATATAACGTGCAGACTTAATCATTGTTTTCAATTATCCCACTTCATTGCACGGGTCTCACAGAAAAAACGTGTAAAGCTTCATTAGAAAATATTGACTTGTTCAAAAGAGTTTTTGTGAAGCAAAAAACAATGGAAAATCAGGTTTAAACAAAAATGGGGATTGAGCCCCAACGTGTCATTATCACTTTGAGAACATCCACTAATTTCATAGAGACATGCAATTTTTTTACGCACCCCAATTCTGGATACCTGTACGTTTTTTTTGTACTGTCCGTAATAAAAATTTACTTTCTCTTTTTTCCAAAATAACAAAAACATAGTTTTAAAGGGTGGCGACATACCTAAATTGGTGTTTTAGGCTTTTTGTTTGTTTTCAGTTGATCTAACATGCTCACACTGCCCTGCTTGACTAGATGTTAAGACACCCGTGGAATTTTTTTCTTCTCTTTTTTTTTACAATCACTCGCACACCCACATGCACACACATTTCTACACAAACACACACACATTTTAGCACTCACACGCGCACACACACGCACGCAGAAAGGCATTGCTCATCCAGTAGATCGGCGGCTTGAGGCCGGTCGTGTTGTGGTAGTCCGCGGGAAACACTAGTTTTCTCGATTGCATGGCCGGTTGCAGTCGGAAAAAAATAAAAATAAAAGAAAGCCAAGCATTGTCCCTTGGCAAGCTAAGCCGGCCTCATCGTCGTGGTGTCCTCTGAGGAAGCAGACGACAGCACTGCACTCGCCCGATGGCAGCGTAGGAAGAAGGCTCATCGTTGTCGTCGAAGACGCCTTAGATGCTCGACTCTTTGGGTGGCAGAAGCACAGCCGTCTCGAGGGCACTCTTGATGTTTACCACCGGCACGTAAAAATCGTCCATGCCCTTTTGGTCCCCTGATGGCAGCAACGACAGGACATCTGAAAGAGGACAACAAAACGATGGTCGATCTACCAAGAGTTGCCGATGACAAAGACGATATTTGGCAGCCAATAAAAGTAATGGCTGTTTTTGCAATAAAATTTTCAAAAAATGTAATAATATGTGGAGGTTTTATGCACCTAAACCACAACAGAGTTTGAATGTCAGGAACCCTTAGCCTCGTGCGCTGCTTAGTACCCCCAGCTGCACCCACGGGGAATGCAAAGGAACGCAAGAGCGTGCATACGTTGGAGGCTAGGGTTCCCCTCCCCGCATCAAAAAAGAGAGAGAGAGAAGGAAAGGTAGGGAGGTCAACCAATCCAGGATAACCGGTTTGCTACCCTGCATGTGGGAAAGTGAGATTAATAGAAGAAAAGATAAGAAAGAGACAGAGAAATAGCGCATCACACAGCCCGTGCACAAAAACCTAGTTTGTAAGAATCCAATAATCTGGCGTGGAACACATCTCTCACAGCCGCTTGACCAGGTCCATCTTCCTCAAAAACCTCTGCAGTTTTTTTTTGTCACCTTCAGCTGCAATGTCCTTTGTCAACGACATGCTAGAACAGATTCAACAGATATTTGTCTATTGTCAAGGCGCACTATAATGCACGCTGGTGATTGTCTCTGCACATTGTAGACCGGACAGTCACACAGTCTGTGGCATAGCGTCTGCTCACAATTACAGGGATTGCCGAGACCATAATATGATTTCGTAAGTGCCACACCTAACCATAAACGATAAAGCACTGTGGCCTTTTATCGGCGGAGTCCACTTGGCATACAGAGATACATCAAAAAGCGTAGGCGGTGTTGATGAGTGGTTTGGTTGATCTGGCTGCTTGGTGGGCACCATAGAGAGAGCATTGTCTCCTGTGCAAGCCCTTGAAGGCTGCTGCTCGTGTCAAACCATGAAAGTGGCATGGCATCTTCATGTGTGCCACCAAGAGCAGCCCAAGCGGCGTTACCGGCGTGTTCATTTTCTATGACGCCGCAGTGACTTACAAGCCACTGGAACGTCACAGTGCCCTTTCTCATGTGATGTGTGAATAAGATGCCGAATTACAAATACGAGCTGTTCGTATGAGCTGCGACACAGCGCTCATAGCAGAGATTGTAGGGCTCCCTAAAAGTTGAAGATCGACTACTGTTGAGGTGGTCCCCGATAGACCAAACGAAGGGCAGCGCGCACAGCAGCTAGTTCCGCAGCTGTCGTCGTGGGGTGGTCGGTCCTAAAGCTGATTGTTATTGCTCTTGCCAGAACAACCACTGCACCACATGAAGAAAGGAGGTTTGTGGAACCATCGGTATATACAGTATAGACCACTTATACCGTAAGTCGCGAATATCCGATCATAAGCGGTACCGCAACTATAACCAAAACAGCCCTTTTCAAGGGCCGCATTCGCGCAAAACGTGTTGAGCATGCAGCTTCGTGTGTCCAAAAAACGAAGCAAGCCATGCTTGGTGCTTACAACCATTTAAAAAAATAACATCTTAAGACACGCGTTGCCAATGAAATGAACGCGAAAAAGGGGGCATCTACCAAACGAAAGCACCACTGCAAGAATGTGCCAACTAAATCAAAGACCGCCTCGATTATGCGCATTACACAGAAATTATGGCGAGTCATGTCCGATATTTCACGCACTCGAAAGACGTAAATCATTCAATTTCACGGGCGTGCACACGATTTTGAGACATCGCAATCAAATCGCGAGCCACCATTCGAGGTGCTACACGTGCCACGCTCGTTTTCGTTAACGTGATGTAGTTTCGTTGATTCCGTACCAAACCTCAACTAAGCACGGGACTGCTACCGAAACGCACGAATGCCGATTAGGCCTAGCGTGCCGTTCTGTGTGTTGTCAAGAGAAGTTTGTCCAAGACATGAAGATCTGGCGTTGAAAAGATCACACCTAAGCGCTGCACCAAGGACAGCGTGCGTGATAGGTAGTTCCCGTTCGTGGCCGGTAGATCAATGACGAAAACCCGCAAAGCTTATAACGTAGGCAGCACACTGGCAGCAAAGGGGAAAGCTTGCGTCGTGAAGCCATAAAAGGTTTCAAACTTGCGGACGAGGTAGCAAAGGCGATCTCTGTAGCAAGCTCGATAATGACTACCCTTTACCAGACAGGAAACTGTTAAGGCACCTGATAAGGACGGGATCGCGCGTGCTATATTGAGCAGCGCGCGGCCGGAGCCACGCTAGTGACTCTAGTACAAAGCAGCGTCGATGCCGGGGAAAGGCTTATCCGTTGCCATGCAACCACCTTTTCTTCCCCCCTGTTCTCTTTTCCCTTCCAGTCTTCGTTCGTTCACTCGGCGTACCCCTCCTCCGTAGCGACCAGCAGTACATCCCAGTCCGCCTCTTTTCGAATGCGCACTTTCTAGCGCATTTGTCACAAAGATTTTCCGACATCTGCATTAAAACCAGTCTTTCAGCTTGGGGGTCTGCACAATAAGCGGTATGGGTATACATGGGGTTCTGTTGGAGGGTAAACGAGAGTCGAAAAAGACCGTGTAGTAAGCGGTTCTGCACTATAAGCAGTTACATTGCAAGTGGTCTACACTGTATATATTTACTGTCTACATACCTCTCGAGCAAGAGAATAAAAGAGTTGCTTCAGCACAGGCGATGACATCTCAGATTAAAACTCTCTAATATGATCATGAGGTGCACTGTACTGAAGGCCCCCGATATTTTGGTGATCTGGCATTCACCTAAAGCCATTGCGAAGACATTTCGCTAATTGGCCTTTCCCTTCCTCTCCCATGCTCTTGTGACAGTGTGAGGTGCTAGATGGTGCCGAACTGAGGGTGAATTTAGAGATACTGTATATGCTGCCTTTAGGTAGCAGAGTTGCACATACCTTTTCCTTCCACTGCTCACTCTGCTATTCGGCGAGCGGTGTCACCTAGTGCAAAGTGACGTAAAATGTTCAATTCACGAGGCGAAGCCAACTGTATGTGCATGATGGCACAGCGCCCGAGCATTCTCTGCCTGTACCGACTTCAGTCTCACTGTTCCCGCCATTAGGGGGCTTTTACCTTGTAAGTATATGATTTGCGTTACCATATTACCGGAGAGAATCTGCGCACGTGTGGGTCTTTACAGAACGTAAACCGTTTACGTAACGTAAATTATCTGCCGGGTAGGCTTCACGTTTGCTGCGCTATTTCGCATATCCACCTTCGTTCGCCAATACGCGCAATATCCGCATTGCGAAGACTCCAGACACCGTGTCAAAATAAGCTGAAGTGCGAGCACCAATAGTGATTACATTGTTTCAGCCGGATTACCAAAGCTAGAATGGCCAGAACGTCGAAGCCGCAAACCTGTGATCCCCCGACAGACTGGATAAGTGGCACCATCTAGCCAAGTCAAAACAGACCAGGCCATCACAAAATTGCTATTGCAGAAACATTGTGCAATGTACGTTTGGTGTAAAAACCGCGCTGTGGCGTTATTACGAATTAGTTACTTTTTTAATCATTATCACCTCAATTAATTAATTATTGAGTTGAACATCCCAAAGCCACCATACTATTATGAGAGACGCTGTAGTGGAGGGCTCTGAAAATTGTGACCAACTGGGGTTCTTGACATGCACCTAAATATAAGCACACGGGCCTCAAACATTTTCACTACCTAAGCAATATAGCCCCTCACTGCCACAGTGGGCTCTTCAATTTTCAGGCCTCTGGCAGCTCTCTGGCAGCCAGAGCTAGCCAGAGGGTCAGTCAGCTAGTTCCGGGCTGGACAGTAAACAGCGTCGTAATTACGTGTGTGGGGAACCCGAGACAACCCGAAACTGCCTGAAGATCGCAAAATCGAACGCTAGGACTGCCAGTGTAAACGTAAACAAACTCTATCTTCGTGGCAGGAAACGAAACAATGCGCCGTACGCGCACTGGTATTTTTCTGCATTGTCTGTTTGGAAATACGTAGCTAAGTTCGCCAAAAAGCTGAAATAACATCCTTGAGCATACGCGTTTGGGGCACGACTTTGTACGCAAGCACTATCAATCACCGCGTCCGCGATCGAAACAGCCAGCTGATGCACACCTCCTCGAGAACGATGCAAGGTGAGCGGCCACGACGCTGACGGCCTAACAAGCTCACGTACACGTACCAGTAATTGCACAACACGACGTGAAACCACGCAAAAATGATCGTGTCCCCAAAAGAGCTCAAGGATATATATATATATATACCTGCTCAGCTATTGCATATTATACGTCGCAAACACATGTTGACCAACTTACGTTTTTGTCTAAGGTTTAGACATGCGTAGGTATCGGTACCACAAGTGCATGTCATATCTAAATTAAACTTTTCCATGACACGTTTAACCCGTTTTGGGACTTGCCTGCCCCTGTTTCCCAGTCCTATGTGGCATATTATGTATATCAGCTTTGATTCGACCTACTTGGTCGTAACAGTACATACTGCGCGGCATTATTATGATTAAAAAAAGACAAAGCCGACGATAAAATAGGCAACGAAAGATTGTATACAATTCTGAATCCATCTTTGTTTTTTTCTCGCGCTGTAGCATATATCATAATACCAAATATGCTGGCCCATAGATCGAAGTGTGCTCGTACACCGTTTGTGACCAGCGAGCATCACACACTTGAAGACAACAATCGCGATCTAGGGCCTTCTATCACCATCGAAGATCGATTGAGTAGTCAAGTTCTAAGAGGTTCACGCACGCAAACATACGAAGGAGCGAGGTAGTTCGACCACAATTATCTTCGCTAAGTGCACAGAAAGCAGGCACGACTCCACAAATGATTACAGTTAAACTTGGATATAACGAAAATTGATAAACTCCCAGAAAAATTCGTTATAAAAGGATCTCGTTGTATGCAGGTTCTGTACGAAATTCAAAAAACAAGCACGCAAATTAAACAAAAAAGGGAATGAAGGCTGAGCTATCCCAAAACACTTATTCTACAGTAAAAAAACTGCGTTATTATTGTGATAACA